GTGCGGGCAACATGCCTCAGCCAACGCAGCCTTGCCCGCCAGAGGAACTCACTGATTCATAATAAACGCTTTTGGGTTCGATCGCGTTATTTATAAATGTGCCGTAACCCTCCACCACCCGACACGGCCAATCAGCAAAAAAGTGTCACGTTGACAAAAGACAAATAGTTCACTACTTTAGCCCACCGGTGTGGTGAAGAGTGAATCCACAACATTTACAATTTTTGAGTACGACGTTTCGCTGGTAATTACATCCAGCATCATCCGGCAATTCGCCAGAATGGTGAATTCACCAGAATGGTGAATTGCCCGATGATGCTGGATGTAATTACCGGCGAAAAGTCGTACTACTCAAATTGTAAACGTTGTGTAATTGCTCTCCAACACACCGGCGGGCTGAACTAGTAAACTAATTGGCGTTTTGTCTACGTGACAAATCCCTTACTAATTGGCTGTGTCGGGTGGTGGAGGGTTACGACACATTTATAAATGACGCGATCAAACCCAAAAACGTTTATTATGAATAATATTGGTCGCGAAAGCCTACGTGTTAAACGAACTCACTGATGATGGGGACTGTGTCCAGATCTCCTGCTGAACATCTCTGAAAAAGAGCTATATAGCTCATCGGATTCCTCCAGTATAAATAAACATTCTGATTCTGATATACATATAAATATGTCACTGTCACTGAGCACAAGCCCACAGGTCCAAAACGCCAAGCATCCAGCAACAAACAGCACTTCAATCGCTGTAACAGGTCACGCGTTTCTTGAATTGAGCGATGCTCTAGGAACTTAGGAAAAGAGACGATGGGAGGGAATCCCAGAATGGAGGTGTTGTGAGGGAAGATTCAGAAAGAGAAGCGTTGTGTGAGCTGCAGTGCGGCGAGCAGGTGGGCGTTTCTGTGACTTGTAGCGCGGTTGTTGTACCCAGACTGGTGGATGAGTCGGTGTGTGAGCGATTAAGTGTCCTGTTGTCACTTGCAGCGGGGTGGTTGAACCCAGAGTGATGGATGAGTCGGTGTGTGAGTGACTGAGTGTCCTGTTGCGACTTTCAGCGGGGTGGTTGAACACAGAATGGTGGATGACGAGACGAAACAGTCAGTGTCTGGGTTAGGCAGAGTCCTCAACATGGGTGGAGGAGGAATCAACGAGTGAAGTTCCCAGGAACAGTAGCCATGGTATTAGTAGTAGTAGCGATAGACGAGTGATAAGGAGGTGACTGACCAGCGGTCAGCGAGTGAATCGCTGAGTTCACTCTATGCGGTCCAGCAGTGAGGGTGGCACTGGGTGCTCCGCCCAATATATGACGAGCAGCAGGATTCGAGCGTGGGCAGAGTTCGTGCTCTGCGTCGACGTATGTTGAACTTATTTCGCGCCGTACGTAGCCAATCGTGCTAGTTGGAGTTGCGGGGGAAGGACAACGGAACCGCGCAGCTGTAGCAGCAGCAGCAGCAGCAACAGCAGCAGCTGCAGCAGCAGCAGCAGCTGCTGCAGCAGCTGCAGCAGCAGCTGTAGCAGGAGCTGTAGCAGCAGCAGCAGCTGTAGCAGCAGCAGCTGTAGCAGCAGCAGCTGTAGCAGCAGCAGCAGCTGTAGCAGCAGCTGTAGCAGCAGCTGTAGCAGCAGCAGCAGCTGTAGCAGCAGCAGCAGCTGTAGCAGCTGTAGCAGCAGCAGCAATCGCGCGGAGTTCACGAGGCACAGAAAGCCACGGCACGTGCAAGTGTGCTTGTTGCGCCAAGCGGAATTCGGTTGAATCCAGGACGTATCGTGGGCCGAATGTTTCACGGCCGGCGTAGGTGTTCTTATGATGTGCTTCCACGTGTCGCCCGGCATAGGGAGGAGGAGGGGGCATAACTGTGGCGGAGAAGAGCCGGGGAGCTCCATGTGGAACGACAGTGCCAGGCAGTGTTTCGCAACCGACGAATAGTTAATGCCGCTCGACCGACTCGGAACGAGACCTCCACTACCAGACCGGAGCTGGCCATGGGCACACTGACCAGGTATAGAAAGTCAACCGCCCTCTCGACAACCACCCGCATTGCTCAGAGAGAGTTGAATGGAGGGAGGGCGGGTGTTTTATACCATAAACTACCCAGGCAGGTTTTGGTCCGGCTTGTGGCAAGATGTCTTAGTAGCACGCTCTCCAAGTTCAGGTTTTGGTCCGGCTTGTGGTAAGATGTCTTAGTGGCACGCTCTCCAAGTTCAGAAAACATACTTTCCGGAGCTCAGTCCCGGCTAAAAATTAAGCTCTGGTGCCAGTGTACAATGAAATGCAAAATGTACATTGAGATGTCACTGTGGCCTAAGGGAAATACGTAAACGAAAATAAGTTTTTTTTTAAATAAGAGAGTTTGTCGTGCGACAAGCCCGACGGGTTTTATACAAATTCGTGGTTTACACGCATCGCCGACACCTCGTGATGCACGTTCGCGTTGTCTTCCTTATACAAAGGATGCTTTCGGAGTGACTGATGTGAATTCTTTAGTAACGTTCTGCAAGGGCTCAAGATTAAACGAACAAAAACGTACACAAACACCGATTTTAAAAAAATCTATCCAAAAGACAATGCTTTCTTTTTTTTTACTTTTCACCCCAATAATGATGTCGCCCGGACATCGATTGGCGTCACACATTGTGTCTCTGACCCACGCGCCCCTCGTTCGGTCTCTCAGCGTCATTCATCGATTGGCGTCACACATTGTGTCTCTGACCCACGCGCCGCTCGTTCGGTCTCTCAGCGTCATTCATCGATTGGCGTCACACATTGTGTCTCTAACCCACGCGCCGCTCGTTCGGTCTCTCAGCGTCATTCATCGATTGGCGTCACACATTGTGCCTCTGACCCACGCGCCCCTCGTTCGGTCTCTCAGCGTCATTCAAATTCACGCATTGCACCCTCCACAAGTCCTGCCACGCTTCTTTGCGCACTTTCGAAAATAATAACAAATTAAAAGTTACTAACGCATATATAAATATATAAAAACACAATATATAATATTAATATCCATAATACACGTGTTTTTTGGTTAGATCGCGTAAGGATATAAATATATCGTTAAACCCACCACCAGCCGACAAAGCCGGATAGTAAGGTTTGTCACGTAATCAGAAAATGCCAATTCGTTACGAGTACAGCGCACCGGTGTGTTGGAGCGCCAAGCCACAATATTTACAATCTGAGTACGATAATTATATATATTCCATATTAATAATATTAATATATAACAGTATATGTTTTATATATATAAAACAAAAAAAATCCGGGGGCAAACAAATAAAATACGGTTATGTATCGCTGCAATCAACAACAAAAAGCTCAGTGAAAAGTTTTCCAAAAAGCGCGACGAAACCTCGAACATCGACAAAGACGTTTCAGGACCGGCCCTGGGCCGTCGGGAGAGGCCGGAGCAGGCGACGAGGACAGCCCGAGGCAGGCCCGGACTGTCCAGCCTCAAAATGAGTACCTGGTGCGACCGGGCGTGGTGCTGGCCACCCACCCCCTCGTGTGCCGTGCCGGCGTTCATAGGTGCTGCTCGCCAACAGCACTTGCCCCGACAGTCTGTCAAGGCTACACGGGGGATCTTTGTCTTTTGTGTTTGTGCCTCTCTGTATAGAGTATTGTGTATACTCTTCGGTTCTTTCGGTAAAGTCACGTAGGTATGTGATCAATTTTATTTTTCCACCTACGTGACTTTACCGAAAGAACCAAAGAGTATGGATTCCTGCAGTCACGAAAGCTTCGAATCAAGTATTGTATATGTTTACTGCTGGGGACAAATCGATGACCGAGCAGCTTCTTGAACTGCAGTTTTACCCATAATGAATCTGCCATGAGTCTCGTGACAACTCCAACTTGACAGCCTGCACCGCACTTCAACGCGACTGACTGCTGGCAGCTCGCTAAGCAGCAACAGAAGCTGCATAATAAAGTTATCTTCGACTCTACTGTGACGTCGTTACGTTGCGGTGCTCGAGAATTGAACAAAAAAACACAAGCAAGTTTAATGAACGGGTAACCGAGATATTCACTTACAACTGTAAGTTAAACTCCTGAAAAGTCTCTTGCTTCGATCGACCACAACCCCTATACCACATCCGCTGCGGCAGTAGCAACAGCCGCAGAGGCGAAGGCTTGTAAAATGACAACCTATGTAAGTCAATAAATTACAACCTCTACGGCAGACCGTCGTCACCACCCAGAACAGAACCACGGGATTTATTCACTTAGACTGAAGGGCCGATTCACAAGTGCAAAAGAGGAGGCATGCACGCATGTTTGTTTGGAAGTATGTATGTTGAACTACATTTGGAGTTTGCGTGTGTGTGTCTTTCCCACCACCACCACCACCACCCCGTGGTGGCCGTATTGGTTTTCTCTGGGTTCCTGCGGTGTTTTTTTCCCTCCCCGTTTATAAGCAACATGCGATTTGATGATTGGGCTGCTTAAATTTTCCTCGTTGGGCAAGCGTTTTTTTGACCAGGTCGCTTTTGAAAGGAAAAAAAAAGAGAGAGCCGACGGAGCTCAGTGGGCCTGACCTGGTAAATTTAAAATAAATATTAAAAACACCCACTCCGCTGCTCCTGATTCCGCAGCCATCCTGGCTCACCATCCACCCTCGATGTCAAAATCCAGCCGCTCATCTCGACATCAATACCAAATCCGACAATTGTTCGAGTTGACATCGTCGCTGCTCGAGCACAGGCCCGAAGAACGCCACGCGGTCGACACACAAACGGCTCATTCAAACAAACGAACAAACAAGACAAGAACAACGTTGTAACCAGTAAGGAGAAAGCCAGTTGAAGGCAGCCGCAAGTGTCTCCTTTGGTGACAGCCAACACACAGATTGAGAAACGTCAGTTGCGGCGGCAATTGAGGGAGGTGGAAGGCGGAGGGGCTGGGAGGGGGTGTGATTTGAACACACCCTTCCCCTTGTCCCACCCCCCCCCCCCCTTACCTGTAGATTTACCTGTATCTGCCCGGGGATACAAAGCAAACTCGCATCGCCTAGTAAGCCAAAGTCTGCGCTGTCAGCTGCTGGGGCAGGGACAGGAGGCCGTGTACGTGCGGTGAGTTACGCGTCCATACAGGCGCACGCACAGAGATCATTACACACACACAGCCACAGAGATCATTACACACACACACAGCCACATAGATCATTACACACACACACAGCCACATAGATCATTACACACACACAGCCACAGAGACAACAGCGCGCGCGTGTGGTCTTACAAAGAAATCGAGATTATAATAGGCGACGTTTCTGGTAAAGGACCTACTTCATAGCACATAAATACTACGAAGAGGTGCCCATTGCCCGAAGAAGGACCATTGCCTGAAACGTCGTCTATCATTCTTCCTTATAAGACTGCACACATTGACGAATGTGTTGATTTGTTTTATGTGCGCGTGTTCACCACTGTTAAAGGCATTAGCAGCAGCATCGCAAGATAAAATGTGCGTGCATGCGTTAGAGATATCTTACGTGTGGACGTGTGTGTATACGTTGTATACTTGTGTGTATACGTTAGATATGCGTGTCCGTTTCGCAAGACATCGTTGCTCATTTTAATTTCTGTAATTCTTTTTAAGACTTTAATATTGCATAAGTCTGCGTGTATTATTTTACCTGGCGTATGGTCAGGAGTGGTGAAGTATGGCAGAAACGACACTCCCCCCCCCCCCCCCCCACTACTCCTGACCGACACGGCGTTGAGAGAGAGGTCTTCATCTTTCACCAAGGGTAGAGCTGAGCACACACAGGCCCAATGGCCCAACGCGCCCAGCAGACCGCAACAATCAGCACTATCGTAGTCGGAAGATAAATATGAATACATTTTTTTACAAGAACCGGCCAGATGGCTACTCAGTGGTAACGCGAGCGAGTTTAAATCCTGGTTGGGAGTTGACTCAGCCCATCAGCATCCCGCCCTGCAGGGTCGATAAAGCGAGTACCACTTTGTGTGGGGGAAGCCAACGGTGGTCGTTCTATGGACACCCCCCCCCCCCCTTCCCACCGTCACAAGCATGTGGAATTTTAACCAAATGGCCCAGAAGAGCAAGAACATGGATTGAGACGATCCGTGCACGAACCAGGGCAGCACTTGAGAGACCGGCATGAGTCCCATTCGCGACAGTGGCCTGGCACGTGAGTCTGCCAGGAGTAGTCTTGACGACTGACGCTGGTGCCGCTGCTGTCGGTGTGTTGATTCCCCAATTGGGTGAATTTGCGGCCTCATTTTCGAATTTTGTCAAATTTTGGCCTTGCGAAGCTGGCAGCAAACGCCGGACGGCGCCGTTACTGCAGACCCCGCAGCATTGACCGGGGCGACCGCCCGCCAGACCCGAACCGTGCATCTTCTTGCAACAACAGCAGCAGCAGCAACAGCGACGACGAGAAGCAGCGGCGGCGAACGTGCGCGCCACCACCGGGTCAGCCCTCGTGACGAGTCCTGTGGTGTGGCATTGGCGTGAAACGGAAACTTGCGAGGAGACACGACCACAGTGGGGGCGGGTGGCTGTGGCCACGCTTTACGCCACGTGGGCGCTTTTTCCTCCTTGGTCACCCCGAGCACAACGGCCTCCTTCCTCCTCGTCCCTCCACGCTCGATCCCCTCCTCCACAGCCACTTGTTTATTTGGGTCATCCTCGTTACCTTCCCACTGGTGAGCCCAGGTCCCCCTCCCCCCCTTTCCCAATTCCTTCCTTTCCTCAGTGAGTCTACGAGGTATCTGTGCTAGTCTATGGGCTCCTGTGTGAGTCGATGGATCTCAGTGTGAGTCTATGGGCCCCTGTGTGAGTCGATGGATCTCAGTGTGAGACTGTGGGTCTCTGTGTGAGTCGATTGACCTCAGTGTAAGTCTGTGGGTCCCTTTGTGAGTCTATAGATCTCAGTGTGAGACTGTGGCTCCTTGTGTGAGTCGATGGATCTCTGTGTGAGTCTGTGGGTCCCTTTGTGAGTCTATGGATCGCGGTGTGAGTCTGTGGGTCTCTGTGTGAGTCTATGGATCTCAGTGTGAGACTGTGGGTCCCTTTGTGAGTCTATGGGTCTCAGTGTGAGTCTGTGGGTCCCTTTGTGAGTCTATGGGTCTCTGTGAGTCTATGGGTCTCTGTGTGAGTCGATGGATCTCAGTGTGAGTCTGCAGGTCCCTGTGTGAGTCTATGGATCTCAGTGTGAGTCTGTGGGTCGCTGTGTGAGTCGATGGATCGCGATGTGAGACTGTGGGTCTCTGTGTGAGTCTATGGATCTCAGTGTGAGACTGTGGGCCCCTCTGTGAGTCTATGGATCTCGCTGTTAGTCTGTGGGTCTCTGTGTGAGTCTGTGGATCGCGGTGTGAGACTGTGGGTCTCTGTGTGAGTCTATGGATCTCAGTGTGAGACTGTGGGTCCCTGTGTGAGTCTATGGATCTCAGTGTGAGACTGTGGGTCCCTCTGTGAGTCTATGGATCTCGCTGTTAGTCTGTGGGTCTCTGTGATTCCATGGATCGCGGTGTGAGTCTGTGGGTCCCTGTGTGAGTCTTTGGATCTCAGTGTGAGACTGTGGCTCCTTGTGTGAGTCTGTGGGTCCCCGTGTGAGTCTATGGATCTCAGTGTGAGTCTATGGTTCCTTGTGTGAGTCTATGGATCGCGGTGTGAGTCTGTGGGTCCCTGTGTGAGTCTATTGATCTCAGTGTGAGACTGTGGCTCCTTGTGTGAGTCGATGGATCTCAGTGTGAGTCTGTGGGTCCCTTTGTGAGTCGATGGATCTCGGTGTGAGCCTGTGGGTCCCTGTGTGAGTCGATGGATCTCAGTGTGAGACTGTGGGTCTCTGTGTGAGTCTATGGATCGGGGTGTGAGTCTGTGGGTCTCACTGTGAGTCTGTGGGTTCCTGTGTGAGTCTATGGATCTCAGTGTGAGACTGTGTGTCTCTTTGTGAGTCTGTGGATCTCAGTGTGAGATTGTGGGTCTCTGTGTGAGTCTATGGATCGCGGTGTGAGTCTGTGAATCTCAGTGTGAGTCTATGGATCTAAGTGTGAGACTGTGGGTCCCCGTGTGAGTCTATGGATGTCAGTGTGAGTCTGTGGGTTTCAGTGTGAGTCGATGGATGTCAGTGTGAGCCTGTGGGTCCCTTTGTGAGTCGATGGATCTCAGTGTGAATCTGTGGGTCTCTGTGTGAGTCTATGGATCTTAGTGTGAGTCTGTGGGTCCCTGTGTGAGTCGATGGACCTCAGTGTGAGTCTGTGGGTCCCTTTGTGAGTCGATGGATGTCAGTGTGAGACTGTGGCTCCTTGTGTGATTCGATGGATCTCAGTGTGAGTCGATGGATCTCAGTGTGAGTCTGTGGGTCTCTGTGTGAGTCGATGGATCTCAGTGTGAGTCTGTGGGTCCCTTTGTGAGTCTATGGATCTCAGTGTGAGACTGTGGCTCCTTGTGTGAGTCGATGGATCTCAGTGTGAGTCTGTGGGTCTCAGTGTGAGTCTATGGATCTCAGTGTGAGTCTGTGGGTCCCCGTGTGAGTCTATGGATCTCAGTGTGAGTCTGTGGGTCCCCGTGTGAGTCTATGGATCTCAGTGTGAGTCTGTGGGTCCCTGTGTGAGTCTATGGATCGCGGTGAGTCTTTGGGTCCCTGTGTGAGTCTATGGATCTCAGTGTGAGTCTATGGATCTCAGTGTGAGTCTGTGGGTCCCTGTGTGAGTCTATGGATCTCAGTGTGAGTCTATGGATCTCGGTGTTAGTCGGTGGGTTCCTGTGTGAGTCTATGGATCTCAGTGTGAGTCTGTGGGTCTCAGTGTGAGTCTATGATCTCAGTGTGAGTCTGTGGATCTCCGTGTTAGTCTATGGATCTCAGTTTGAGTCTGTGGGTCCCTCTGTGAGTCTATTGATCTCGGTGTTAGTCGGTGGGTTCCTGTGTGAGTCTATGGATCTCGGTGTGGGTTTTCACGTGATGGAGGGATATGCATGGTGGTGGGGTGGAAAAGGTGGTCGGAGGAGACGAAAGTGGTGGAGGTGGTGGTAATCGTAGTGGTAGGAGGAGATTGTGGACAGTGGTGGCGAGGGGCGGTCAAGGTGGTGGTGGTGGTAATGAACACTTGGAGGAGGTAAAGTGGTGGTATTGTGATGGTGGTGATGATCGTGTTGGTGATGTGTGGAGCGGTAGTGCAGCGGCTATCATGCTGTGCTTTGAACCCGGCGACCCGAATTCGAATCCCGCTCACGGCCAGCACATAAGTGACGATTATCTGAATCGGTGCTGGGCCTACCCTGGGTCGACTCAGCCTCAAGTGAGTGCCGATGTGTGTACATTTGGCCACTGGGGAGGCAAAGGTGGTCGGGCGTGGTGCTTGCCACCCGTGCTCGTGTACCGTGCCGGCCTTCATTGGTGCTCTCTCACAGCACTTGCCCGAACGGTCTGTTAAAGGCTACACGGGGGATCTTTGTCTTTGTGCTGGTGGCCACAGGCAGATCCTGCTGAACTACGCGGTGTACCGTCCGGACGTGGGCTACGCGCAGGGCATGTCGGACCTGCTGGCGCCCATCGTTCTAATGTCGGCGACGATGATTGACGGTGGCGGTGATTGACGATGGCGGTGTGATCACCAGGTGGCAGCGGTAGTTGCGGCGGTCGCTCTGAAATCGTCCGTCGTTGCATCTTCTCGTCGTCGTCGTCGGACGTGGAGGAGGAGAGCGTCACGACTCGCACAGGAGGTGGAGGAGGTGGCGGCGGTCGAGGCGGTGTCCTCCATGGCCCCGCGCATCCGATGCTCGGCCCTCCCGTCGCGCCGTCGCCTGCTGCTGCCCGCGTGCGTCCTGGGCCTCAGCCTGGCCGTGGCGCTGCAGCTGTGGCAGGCGCTGGCGCCGCGCGTCGCCGTGGAGATTCCCCGGCTCGGCCTGAAGCCGCTGAGCGGACATCTCGAGCGGCTCTTCTGGTCGGGCCACGACGACGAAGGCCTGCGGCAGAGCGACGCGGCCAATGGCAACTCGTCGTCAGCGTCGTCATCGCCCGCGTCGCTGATAGAGCTGGCGAGGGAGCTCGGCGGGCGTGTGCTCACGATGAGAGACGACCACGAGGAATACTTCGTCAGGACGCCCGCCGGAGCGCTCTGCTTCCGCGAGGGCTCCCTCCACCCGGAGGCGCCCTCCTCCCTCCCGGCTCCCGTCGGCGCCGTCGGCGGCGTCGGCCTCGAGCCGAACGCGAGCTCCGGCCCGAGCGCGCCGCCCGCGGCGGGGTGCGCGTGCCGCGCGGGCTGGCACGGCCGCCACTGCTCGGTGCCCTCCGTGGTCCACTACTCGAACCTGGGCGCGCGGCACCGCGCAGCGCTCGCCCCGCGCGCCGCGCCGCGCCGCGTCGTCAACGCCGTGAACGTGAACCACGAGATGGAGCTGCTGGAGGCGCGGCTGCACGAGCTCAACGACACCGTGGACGTCTTCCTCGTGTGCGAGTCCAACTTCACGGCCTTCGGCGAGGTGCGCCGCCTCCACTTCCTGAGCGCCCTCCTGTCGGGCGCCTTCGACTTCGTCCGCCACAAGATCCACTACGTCTTCCTCGACCACTTCCCGAGCGGCGGGCGCGCCGACGGCTGGATCGCCGACGAGTACCTGCGCACGTTCGCGACGCGCGACGGCCTCGCGCGCCTCTCGGGCCTCCGCGACGACGACGTGTTCGTCATCAACGACGCCGACGAGCTGCCCTCCCGCGAGGCGCTGCTCTTCGCGCGCCTCCACGACGGCTGGCCCGAGCCCTTCGCCCTGCACCTGCGGCGCTCGCTCTACGGCTTCTTCTGGAAGCAGCCCGGCTCGCTCGACGTGCTCGCGGGCAGCACGGTGGGCGCCCTCCGCGAGGTGTACGGCGGCGACGGGATCATGCTGCGGCGGCGCCACTACTACGACATGCCGCGCTTCCGCGACTACGAGCGCCGCAGCGGCACGCGCATGGAGCAATGGTCGGTGGGCACCGCGTCGCGGCACGCCGGCTGGCACTGCTCGTGGTGCTTCCCGCCCGAGGGCGTGCGGACCAAGCTGGTGTCGGCGCAGAACGGCGACTTCCCGCGCTGGGGAGACTACCCGGAGAAGCTCGACTTGGACTTCATCAAGAACCTGATCCGCACGGGCGGTTGGTTCGACGGAACCGGGGCCGGGATGCTGCCGATCGCGAACCCCGCGGAGAAGATGTACGCGCCGTGGTACGTGCTGGAGAACCCCAAGAGGTTTGGCCACCTGCTGCGGAACCCATACCTCTAGCGCACGCTAGGCCGACAGCGCGGTTCCTGTGGAAAACGCGGCGACTGCCGCTGGGGGTTGTTGTCCCACCTCCGGCAACCTCTCGGCGACATCGTGAGAAGAGAAACTTGCTTGGCTTGTTCGTGAGCCAGTTCCGTCTCTCCGTCATTCGCGGCACGCGCAGGGGGGATGGGGGGGCGGGTCGTCTCACGAAGTGTCCTCGCTCCTTTGCTTGGATTTGAAGTTTCTCATCTCTCCAAGTTGCTCTGCAATGTTTAAAGTCAAGAGCTGGGAGTAGTTTTATTTTCTGTAAATACCAACCTGACTCTCCTACCCCTTGTCTGTTGTTTGTGTTACGCTCGCGCGTGCGGGTGTGTCTATATCGGCCACGTTCATCTGAAGAGGCACCGAGCTGCTGGTGCGATACATTTAAACTTGAGGTTGCGCAAGTTTAGATAACGAAGACTGACCCCGCCCCTTTTAACGTATTGGCGTGAGAACCTCTCCCATGGAGTGTCCTGAGTTTACACGTCACTCTTGTGCGAATGTTAAATTGACACGAAAAAAATATTTTGTACCAACGGTTCTGTGCCATCATCATCATCATCACGAGTAATGGAACAAGCGTCCAGGGTGATGTGATGGTTGTGATGGTTGTGATGGATGTGATGGATGTGATGGTTGTGATGGATGTGATGGTTGTGATGGATGTGATGGATGTGATGGTTGTGATGGATGTGATGGATGTGATGGTTGTGATGGATGTGATGGTTGTGATGGATGTGATGGTTGTGATGGTTGTGATGGATGTGATGGTTGTGATGGTTGTAATGGATGTGATTGTTGTGATTGTTGTGATGGTTGTGATGGTTGTGATGGATGTGATGGTTGTGATGGTTGTGATGGATGTGATGGTTGTGATGGTTGTGATGGATGTGATGGATGTGATGGATGTGATGGTTGTGATGGATGTGATGGTTGTGATGGATGTGATGGTTGTGATGGTTGTGATGGATGTGATGGTTGTGATGGTTGTAATGGATGTGATTGTTGTGATTGTTGTGATGGTTGTGATGGTTGTGATGGTTGTGATGGATGTGATGGTTGTGATGGTTGTGATGGATGTGATGGTTGTGATGGATGTGATGGTTGTGATGGTTGTGATTGTTGTGATGGATGTGATGGATGTGATGGATGTGATGGTTGTGATGGATGTGATTGTTGTGATGGATGTGATGGTTGTGATGGATGTGATTGTTGTGATGGTTGTGATGGATGTGATGGTTGTGATGGATGTGATAGTTGTGATGGTTGTGATGGTTGTGATGGATGTGATGGTTGTGATGGATGTGATTGTTGTGATGGATGTGATGGTTGTGATGGATGTGATGGTTGTGATGGATGTGATGGATGTGATGGTCGTGATGGATGTGATGGTTGTGATGGATGTGATGGTTGTGATGGTTGTGATGGATGTGATGGATGTGATGGTTGTGATGGTTATGATGGTTGTGATGTTTGTGATGGATGTGATGGTTGTGATGGATGTGATGGTTGTGATGGATGTGATGGATGTGATGGTTGTGATGGATGTGATGGATGTGATTGTTGTGATGGATGTGATGGTTGTGATGGATGTGATGGATGTGATGGTTGTGATTGTTGTGATGGATGTGATTGTTGTGATTGTTGTGATGGTTGTGATGGTTGTGATGTTTACTGATTTCGCCAGTCTTCCGTGTGCTCGGCTCGCGGTGATATGGTCATCATTTGGTCGCCAAGTAATTGTTCATGTGTACATTGACTGTAAATATGAGAATATGCTGCAATAAATGTAAACATTTGGTGCCTGTATTTCATAAATAATGTTCGAAATTAATTCAAAAATATATATGTTCGACCCTTTGTCAATCCACTGCTGGATAAAGGCCTACCCATGCCGTGTCGGTCATGGCAATTGTTTGGCCATACTTCACCACGCCGGTCAATGCGCATTGGTGTAATGGGGGAGCCCAAAAACTTTTTTCCGACATCATGCGCCACTGATGTTAGCCGTGGATGGCAATGGAACTTAACGGTGGTAAGTCGCCTCCTTATCTCTCCTCTATCGTTACTTCCATGGTTAATATTCCAGTAAACCTTCACTCGCTCCTCAATACAGGGACTCACAGTCTCGCACTGTTCAGCGTTTCACCATCGTCAGTGATCCATAATCAGCCATGATCTATCCACTGCTAGGACGAAGGCCTCCCCCCCCCCCATGCCGTCACCATTCCTCGGTGTCCACGCGGGGTGGGTGGAGGGGGCTGGACGCGTCATGGACACGTGGAAGGCCGCGTGCTGCCGCTCACGCTGTGCAGCGGGTCGACGTTCGGTTTCAAACGTTCGGTATTGCATCGACCGTGACGAAGTTTTCCGTACGAGCTTTTAACAAGGTCACGGGGGTCACGGGGGGTGAGGGTCACTGGTCACCCCCCCCCCCCCTACCACGACCTCCAACCATTAAGTAACAAGATCAATATTGGAGACGATACGCCTCATTCCCACGACGACTTGACTTTGCGTAGGGACAAAAAAACCACTCTTACAAACATTTTCTTGTTTTGTTCGTTACCAAATCCCTGCTGAGAGTGTCAATAATTTCCAGCAGGCGCTGCTGGTTCGAATAACAACAATAACAACAACAAAGCCCACTGGAACCGGTTTCGACAATTTTCAAGCGTCTCGTTCGCACAGTGAGCGCTTGCTTGGCAGCAATGCTGGTAACGTTGCCTGACGTTTTTTGTTGTTGTTGTTGTTTACAGGCAAGGATCACATCTCTCTGTGAGATGTGGATCGTCGGTGCGCTTAAGGGTGCAGACTCAGGTGAGCACTCAGCTCCCTTGCAATGGCTTGCCACGTTACGGCTCTTTGGAAAATAATCGCTGTTAGCATACCTGTTAACCCACACGGTCTAACTCCCCCCGTATTCCTGTACAGGGGAAATTGAGTTTTTCGGTCCATACGGCGTACAGCCGTTTCAATATGGGTGAAAAAAAAATGTTTTTATCTATTTGTTCGTGTTTCTTCCTTAAATCTAGACTTAAAGCTTTCGTGACTGCAGGAATTCATATTCATTGGGTCTTTCGGTAAAGCCACGTAGATAGAAAAAAAATATATCATGACGTTTCGATCGCAACACAAGCAATCACCTGATGACGACTGCTTGTGTTGTGATCGAAACATCATATTTTTATAATTTTTTCTATCTACGTGGCTTTACCGAAATACCCAAAGAATATGTTTCTCCCTTGTGATGTGTTTTTGTAGGAGGAACTTTGAGATCTATAAGGGCACGGGGTGACCAATAAGGTCTTAATTGGTCTGTAATCAGGTAGGGGGCACTGATAATGGGTTGACCGGTATGTGTGAAAATCTGTTCTTCTAGAACGCTGCGTATTTTCATAACGTGAATTGGATGTAATGCATTCGGGAATTCGCGTAACACGAATTGGGATGTAGCGCGAACAAGGAGCAAAGCAGACGTGCGGCTGCCTCGGCGGAGCGTCATCGCTGGATGCGTCTGGATCGCTACCCACGCGCGCCCGGTCTTTGTTCGGCCTGCGTACGCGTGTTATCGCCGACTCTTGCTTTACCCCTATATTATATATCGCCTATTCTAACGCGATCTTTCCATAGCGCGGCGTCCTTCAGGAACACAACTGCCCAGCGCGTTATAGATTGTATCATCATCATGATCATCGTTAAGCGACTGTAGGATGACGGTCGGTGACGCGGAGAGGCGCTCACCCTTTTGCAAACACTGAACTCGGGCCGACACACAAAGGGGTCTGCCTAACTCAAACACGTGCTCACCACAATGCACACATCTCCTAAACGCCGACCGAGGCTACGGCCAAGCCCTCACACTAACCCCCTCCACACCCACCGCGTGCCCAGGCAAGCTGTGATGACGGCTGTCATCGCCGTCACTGCAGCAGGGCGTCATAGGGTTTTTTTTGGCGAGTGATGTTGACCCAACAGAGCCCACCACCAACGAACCCCCTTCACCATCGGAGACTCTGTGTGGCTCTCTGGCGCGCTGGAGGTCACTCACTTGCGAACAGAGGACACGGGAGTAGGGCCGGATTGAGATTTTGTAGGCCCCCTGGGCTACAGGGTTAAAGCAAAATAAAATGTATTTTTTAACAAGGCTAAAAACAAATAAAATTCAGCATTCACAAATGAAAAAACTTTTCACTTCATCTCTGGAGGCCCTCCAGCTGACGGAGTTCCCTGGGCTGCGGCCCCCCTAAAGTCCCGCCCCTTAACCCGGCGCTGCACGGGAGGTCTCAGGAGCGTGCGACGTTATCGCGAACGACTGCCCCCAAATCGGATCAATCAACGGCGATCCGAAACAAATCCACGCGGCTACCCCCGACCACCCCATCCCCGCCCCGAAGCAGTCGAATCGGAAATCAAATCTCGACATCAATTTGTAGTCTGTTGCAATCCTTCCCCCCCAACCCCCACCAAATTCCGTACGAAAGAAGAGCAGTACACGGACGCTCCCGGAGCCGGCCGTCACGCTGTGATGTTCAGCAGCAGCAGGACGCCGGACTTGCAATTCGAAGGTCGCCGGTTCGATTCTATCTCCCGGAGCGGCGGCTGAAAAGAGCGATGCCGCTTTCTTGAATCTCTCCCCCGCCACCGCACAGCGATGTAACTGGGTGGCGACAACCACCGTGATTCGATCGGAGGGTCGTGTGTTGTGGTGGGGCAAAGTGTGGGTAACTCCCAACTCTTTCATGTACAGCAGCACTCGAGGGCCCTCTCAACTCTCCTCCCCCCACGTCCACCAGCAGTGGCGCCGGTGAGCAGTTGCAGGGCTGCGCCTTCGGGTCGCGCGTGGCGGCGGCGGGGGTCTGTACTTTCAACGCTTGCCACGGCTTACGCTACCGCCCCCCCCCCCCCCACTTTCACCAACCCGCACCCTGTACGGCGCGGCGTTGTTACGAGTTCTTCATTGCAAGGGGGGCCCCTGGTGGACCCCAGTGGCCTTTAGTGCGACCCCCCCCCCATCACTGACAATACGCAAATGTGACCCCTCCCCCCATCACCGTGCTGTCAAACCCCAATGGCTTCAAATGTGTGGCGGCCCCTCACGCTGATGGAGTCTTATCGGCGAAAGTGCCCCCCCCCGTGCCCCACCCCTCTGAAAATGAGTTTAGAACACTGCCCCAGACTCTTAGTGCAGGGGGGCCGTGCCACGTTGCTGCGGGGGTGGGGGACGACGACCGATCGTGGCGTTCCCAATTTTATTGGCCAATTTGGACCGTGAGCGCCGCGGCACCTAACGGCTGCCTGCTCCTCTTCTTCTACCGATGCCATAACGTGACCTTTCAAACGTCGACCGTGAAGCAGGCGGTGGCGCCGAGGAGCTTCGTTACCGCGCTATTTGCCGGGGCCCGCCACGGGCAAACGCGCCACCGCACCGCCACCGTTTCGGAAGCTTTGGTGGAGCCGGATTGGACCATCGCAATCGCAGGACCGCGGGCTATGGCGATGGCTTGGGAAGGACTCCAGCCAGCAGCGGATAGATCATGGCCGACGACGACGATCGACGTCGCTAGACGTGATCGGAGGGAGCACGCGCGTGTCGTTAGCCCGCCGCTCACATCTTCACGAACACCAGGCTCTCCGGCGGTATGCAGACTTTTTTTAATGTCATATTAAACACAGTACCGTGACAACAAAACATAACCCCCCCCCCCCATCTAAAATCATTAACAAAGCTGAGCGTTATAAAAACACAAGACCCACGAAATAAATATTTACAGACACAGCCATTCCCTGGTCGTCGCTGGGTCTGGGCAAATGAAGACCAAGAGACTCGAAAGACCCTGGGTTTCGAGCAATTCTGGATCTTGTCCATGTATACGGCCTGCCACAAAGACAAAGATCCCCTGTAGAACCTCAACAGACTGTAGGGGTAAGCGCTGTTAGCGAGCACCTACCAAGGCCGGCACGGCACACAAAGGGGTGGGTGGGTCAGCACCACGCCCGGCCACCTTGTGGCGATGTTTACACACCGTACCAGGTACTCATTTGAGGCTGAGTCGACCTAGGGGAGGCCCAGGACCGGTTCAGACAATCGCCGGGCTGTCACACACACGACAGGCAGACACATCGTACGCACACACAGACATACGCTGTGGCAAGCGCTGTTGGCGAGCACCTATGAACGCTGCATAGCGCATTAGGCGGTGGGTGGCCGGCACCACGCCCGGCCACCTTTGTCTCCCCGGTGCTAATATTGTACACATCGCGTACTCATTTGAGGCCGAGTCGACTAAAAGGAGGAGGCCCAGGACCGGTTCGATTAACCGTCAACCGTGTTGGTGGTGGCCGTGAGCGGAAAATCGAACTCGGGTGATAGCCGGTTTCGTAGCGCGGGTGCGCTAACCGCCGCACCACCGCTCACAGGCAGGCACAAACAGAAACGCAGACAGAATCACACAGACAGGCAACATCACACACACACGCGCGCGCAAGCATGCACGCACGCACGGTCAGAAAGCTTCGAGGGCCAGCGGAGGGGACGATGCCTTGCTCACCGAGGGCGCTGCTCCGTTAAATTTGCCTCTCATCCCTTTCGTCTCGCTCCCTCTTCACATCAACTCTGCAAATCCAACTCGGCCGTCGAAATGTCTTGCTGTCGTCTCTCGCAGCAAGCATTCGCATCGATCGAGCAGCGTCGTCCTATTTGGCTATGAAATAAGACCGTGAAAGCAGGCAACGTTATTCGCCAAATTCACTTCCTGAAATGCGAGGCTCCCGAAGGAACCGAATTCGGTTCCTGGAAGGTTTCCCGGCACGTGGTGCGAAACGTCGGACGCCGGCGCTCCAGATAAGTCTTCCCCCTCTGTCGAGTAACTCACCCACCCACCCACACGTCGTCACGTGAGGCGAGCAAAACGTAACGTCGCCTTGAAGTCTCGGGTAATATAGATAAATATTGTCCCCTGTATAACGCTTTATGGCATCCTCGGGCTAATCATTACCTGTTGGGTAGCACAATATTAACGAGAACCTGGCACTGTAACTTGCAATGTCACCTGCAGCTCCTCTAGAGAAACAGCGGTTCGACGGACGCGGGGGGCAGTAGCTCCTCTCCGTGAGAACCTTGCGAAAACTATCGATAGTCTCACCAACATTCTCGCGTGACCGACGCGTGCCCACTCGTTCCGTTGCGGAGGCGACGTCGGCGGCACGGTTCTAGTTCCGTGGTGGAAAACCGGCCCGGCCACGCTGGGCTAGCTCGGCGTGGCTCGGTCGTGGGCTGGAAAAGCGTACGCGGTGTTCTCGCCGCGCAATAAGAATCACTGACTGCAGTGATTCATATTCTTGGTTCTTTCGGTAAAGTCACGTTGAAGGGAAAACAATAAAATAATATAAAATATATATTAAACAATAAAATCCTCACGACGTTTTGACTGCAACACAAGCAGTCGTCATCAGGTTGGTTTTCACACCTGGTGACGACTGCTTGTGTTGCAGTCGAAAACGTCGTGATAATTTTATTGTTTTAGATATATTTTTATTACTTTATTGTTTTCCCTTCAACGTGAATTTACCGAAAGAACCAAGAATGTATATTTTAGAGCAGCGCACCTGGACCAGCGTGCAAAGGTGCATCGCGGGTAGAGTTACCCACACGATGCACCTCTTTGAGCGGCGTTGCCGCCTGTCCTGGTTTTCTCCCCTCCGCCTCCGGTATTGCGACATATCCTGCTTCCCCTGATATATTCCGATTTAATTGAAGCGCAGAGGTGGGCAAGCAGAGCTAAAAGCTCCCCCCCCCTCCTCCCCCACCACTTTATAGAACGGAGATTTGCAAGCCAGATCATGTTGACCATGACCCTTGGAGTGCGGAGGAGAGGGGTTGGTTGGGTGGGGGGTGGCGGCTTGCCCCAACCCCCGGCTCGGCGGGCAGATACACGACATACGATTGGCCGTTTCTGCTCCTGTCGTGTTTCTGTACTGTTTGTTGTAACGTTCTGACCCGCCCCTACCGGACACGTGTGAGAAAGAGCTTTACAGCTCATAGAATTCCTCCAGCATAAATAAACATTCTGATTCCGAGTAGGACGGCACTTGATTTGACGCCAAAGTGACCTCTGTATGTGTATGTATGTGTCTTGAACTTCCTTCACGCCGCACGTAGCCAACCGTGCCGATCTATCCAGCCCTCGGGCACGAGCCCTCGATATACTGGCCAGGGAGTGGCACCGAGAGTGGCACAGGAGGTCAGGGAGTAGCAGGGAGGTGGTCACGTGGGGGGGGGGGAGCAAGGGGAGGGGGGTCAGGGAGACAAGATGGCAGCGAGCAGGGGGAGGTCACGGGAGGTCACGGGAGGTCACGAGAGGCCACGTGGAAGGGGTGTGTCACGGAGCGGGCTCGGCGGCCAGCGAGGGGGGCAGCCCCCCGTAGGGGCAGCCGTCGGCGTCGAGGTGGGCGCCCGTGCACTCGACGGCCGGCACGTAGCCCGAGTCCCACATCCCCGAGCCGCAGCGCACGCACAGCGAGTGCAGGCTGCACGGGATGCGGCGCAGCAGGCGGAAGCGGTACAGCAGGCCCCGCGCCTGCGTGGGCCACAGGGAGAGAGGGTGGGTGGGATGGGAGAGTGGGTGAGTGGGTGAGCGAGTGGGCGAGCGGGTGGGCGGGCGAGTGGGCGGGCGGGCGAGTGGGTGGGCGGGCGAGTGGGTGAGTGGGTGGGAGAGCGAGTAGGCGAGTGGGAGAGTGAGGAGGAGGTGAGTCAACCGTTTATTCTCACGCGCAACGCGACGCGCGTCTCGTCAGCGACGGGATGCCTCGCGACATGCACGGCCATCTTTGTCAACTCACTGCTGGACGAGGGCCTCCCCACGCCGCGCGGGTTGCGGCGGTCATTTGTCCATACTTCACCACGCCGCTCAGTGCGGATTGGTGACGGTTGGAGGGGGAGCAGAGATGCTGGAGCATCGACGTACAGAACCATGGAGTCTGCTGCCCTCTGCTGCTCTCTACAGAGCCCCACAGCCGCTTATGAACAACCGCGCCCTTACGTCCCCACCTGAGGTGGGGACGTAAGGGCGCGTGCCGAGTTGCCGACGCATTTAGGCATGAACTATTATTTTTATTGGCTTATTTATTACTGCTTATTCATCGTTATTATTTTCGACATATGGCGATGATAACGTGGGGGGCACTGCAGGCGCTTGGGTCGTAGGCTGAGGAAACTTGCGGCAACGGCGCACACAGAACCGCCCCGTGGTAGGAGGATTAATAATATTTTTTAAATAAAAAATATACAATTAAAAACTACGCTTGCTTAATGACGGTGACCACACCCAATCGGATTCCGTCCACCAAAGCCTGGTGGCAGAATTATTATTAAACATTTTAATTGTTTCAATAACTTTATGTGGTTTGTGTTTTTTGCTTTGGGGCCATTTATTAATTTGGTTATTCATTTTTAGATTTTGATTGGCAGTGGTAGGGTTTTCATTTGCTTGCTATGTACGTGCGTGTATGTGTGTTGGGCTTCTTTCACGTCGTGTACCGTTCCGGCCTTCATAGGTGCTCGCTAACAGCACTTGCCCCTACAGTCTGTTAAGGCTATATGGGGGATCTTTGTTTGTTTTGATCTTTGTTGGGCTTCTTTCACGTCGTACGCACCCAACTGCGTATGTGGAATTTGACCCTTATATATAATTAATGTAAAGTGTTGTGGGATGCTGTGGGCATGAATGACGCTACGTAAAATGTAGCTCAGCAGACCCAACAAATGGCTTCAGAGCGCCATGCAGAGAAAACATTTCTGGAAACAAAAATTCTAAAACTTTTGTATGGGGGGGGGGGGGGGGGGGCAGGGGGGGGGGGGGGCGCCCTCTGACCTTAATGAGTACGAGCTTCCCGCTCATGTGACCGGCGAGATTGGTGAAGTGCAGCAGCATGGCGTCTGCGGAGAGCCCACGCTGCACCACCACGCCCCCGTACGTGTCCATGATGGCCAGGCACACAAACAGGTGGAAGTAGTCCGTCTGGAGGAGCACAAAGACAATGATCCCCCGCCCCCGCCGTGTAGCCTCAGCAGACCGCTTGGACCAAGCTCTGCATCGGCGAGCGCTCGCGAAGAAGGCTCTGCGCGGCCGGCAACGCGCCCGGCCGCCTCCGTCTCCCCAGCGCTCACGTTTTACGGACGCCGCACCGGGGGTAACTCATTTAAGGGCCGAGTCAAACTCAGGGAGGCCCAGGACCAGGTTCAGGAATTCGTGAGCGGGAATCAAACTCGTGTCGCCGTGTACTAGTCGCCGCTGCGCCGAGGCTCCATTACCCACGATCCTACCAGGGGAACGCATGCACACCCGGGAATATAAGCTCATCAGACCGACCGTTCAGTCTCGAGCGCTGTTCAACCATCACACTGTAAGAAACAACAACACACCCATTCGCCCATTCACTCACTCACCCATCCACACACACTCACCTACTCGATCACCTATGCAAAGCGCACGCACGCACGCACAACAATCACGCGAGCGGGAATGTGCTAACACGCACAATGTACACGCACGCACGACGAAATACAAAGACAAACGTCAAAACAAAACTCTGCTATGGCCTTCACAGACGGTTGGGGCAAATGCTGTTAGAGAGCACCCATGAAGGCACAGAAGGGTGGCTAGCACCACGCCCAGCTAAGTCGACCTAGGGGAGGGCCAGGACCGGTTCAGATATTCGTGCCCGATGTTTGGGCCATGAACGGGAATCTAACCCGGGTCACCGGGTTCGTAGCGCAGTGTACTAAGCACTGCACCACCGTTCCCCATAACAGCACAACACGTACGCACGCACATGGGCACGAGCGTAGTTTGGTTCGTGTTTGTACCATCAGTACAAGAGTTCACTGAGCCCACCCGGTTCACACAGATGGATGTAGATAATAAACTCCAATAAAATACAGAGGAAAGAACGATGTACGGCACACGCGTGGCATCGCCAGCGGAGGGTCCCCCCCCACCCCCCTCCACCACTCACCTCCCGCTCAGCCAAGGTTCGCATGAAACGAGCAGAGAGAGAGAGCAGGCGTCAGATCGAGAGCACAGCAGCGGTGGCAGCGGCGAGCGGCATGCAGTGGCCGTGATAGAAGCTCGGTGGCCGTGATTGAAGCTGATTGTGTGACCAGACGAAAAGCTGAATGGACCAGGATGAGTCTCGCTGGCTAGAGTACAGAGGAGCTGGAACCATCGGTCTGCCCGGAGTAGGGGGCAATGATGGTTGCTGCAGTGTGAATCATAGCAAATCGAGCGATTTGCGGTGTGATTTTCCCATTTGGCAAATTAGCACACCGACGCCGGCACCGTGATTTGGATGTAGATAGCGCATGGCGGTATTATTTTCGTTGTCACACGTCGCAGTATTGACCAGGGCGGCCGCCGGATTCGAGTCGCAAGCCTCCACAACAGCAAGCAGCGAGCACGCTCCCGATAGCCCACCGCGTGATCATCGCCTCACGCCAAGTCACCGCGATGGAGGGGGCCGTTGGTGCTGGTTATGACAGCAGCAGCGGCGGCGGCCGTTCACGTTGACGGCTGCTGTGGTAGCGATGGCTGTGTGGATGTTATCGGCAGCGTGCGTCGGCTTTATCAGTGCCATTGGAGACGGTGGTGGTTACGGTGGTGGTGCTGGCGGTGGAAATGGGGGCGGGGTTGGTGGCGGCAGCGATGGCGAGGGCGGTGGTGACGGTTGTGACGATGGTGTAGCGGTGGTGGTGGTGACGGTGGTGGTGGCGGTGGTAACGGTAGTGGCGGTGGTGGCAGTGACAGTATTGGTGGTGGTGGTAACGGTGGTGGCAGTGACAGTATTGGTGGTGGTGGTGGTAACGGTGGTGGTAGTGACAGTAGTGGTGGTGGTGGTGTTCGCAGTGACAGTACTGGTGGTGCTAGTGACAGTAGTGGTTGGTGATGGTGTTCGCAGTGACAGTACTGGTGGTGCTAGTGACAGTAGTGGTGGTGATGGTGTTCGCAGTGACAGTACTGGTGGTGGCGGTGTCGTCGCGGCGACTGTGATTGGCGCCGCCCCCACCTGGTAGTGCGCCCAGCAGGCCTCCCACATGCGCAGCGCCTCGGACTCGCGGAACTCGCGCTTGAAGCAGAGCAGCACCCAGCGGTGGCAGAAGAGCATCTGCAGGCCGTCCTCCCCCAGCGACTGCAGGTGCTCAAAGAAGCGCGGCAGCATCAGACGCACCAGCTCGCGCAGGTACGTCTGGAGGACCGGAGGGAGGGAGGGGGGCGGGCAAGGTGACGGAGGGGGGGGCCGTGGGACCGCCGGGCACGTTAGCTTCGATATACGTCGTCGGCCTTCGCGATAAATATTATTATTCGCCACTCCTGCCAGACTAATGCCACCCTTGCCAGACTAATGTATTGTAATCTAACGTCACGTCCGTCACCTAACGCGAATACATTCAACTCTAGGAATCACTCTTCCTGCCACCTCCTGCCACCCCCTAGGGAGGCGCACGTCGATGGCTTCGCACCACCTACTCAAGGCCCAAGTGAACATTTCACAATCCTTTTAAAGCTTTCGTGACTGCAAGGATTCATCTTCTTTGGTTCTTTCGGTAAAGTCACGTAGAATGAGAATAAAATAATAAATTGATAAAATAAAATAACACAATAAAATTCTCACGCTGTTTCGGCCGCTTATGTGTTGTGGCCGAAACGTCGTGAGAATTTTATTGTGTTATTTTATTTGATCAATTTATTATTTTATTCTCATTCTACGTGACTTTACCGAAATAACCAAAGAAGATTTCACAATCCTGCCCGATGACGCCGGCTGTGACTACCAGCGGAACGGCCGTAACCCAACCGTTCAACGCGCGTGCGGATCGCTCTCCCAACGGCGCGGCCGGTGGCGCCGCATTTGTTCGTCGCGTCGTGACAACTTCAGCAATCGGCCGTGTCGGGCGGAGGAGGGCGCACGACACGCAGTTTTGTTCGCGCGGCGATCCGACGAACAAACGAAAGAAAAAAAAAACGATCACGAGCCATCGTCATAGTTCGTCGGGTGCTTTCAACTGTTACTGAAACGCCGACGAAACAACCAACGGTAAACAAGAGAACCCCGGCCCGGCGCTCCGCACCAGCTGCGTCTCCATGTCCTCGTCGCGCGGGGAGCTGAAGAAGATCGTCTCCTGCATGAGGCCCACGAAGCACCAGAAGGAGTCGGCCTCGTCGCGCACCTCTGCTAGGATGGGCGCCAGCAGGTCCGACATTCCCTGCGTGTAGCCCACGTCCGGACGGTACACCGCGTAGTTCAGCAGGATCTGCCTGTGGCCACCAGCACAAAGACAAAGATCCCCCGTGTAGCCTTTAAACAGACCGTTGGGGCAAGTGCTGTGAGAGAGCACCAATGAAGGCCGGCACGGAACACGAGCACGGGTGGCAAGCACCACACCCGACCGCCTTTGTCTCCGCAGTGGTAATGTTTACACACCGCACCAGGTACTCATTTGAGGCTGAGTCGACCTAGGGGAGGCTCAGGACCGGTTCAGATATTCGTCACTGGTGTTGGTGGCCGTGAGCGGGAATAGAACCCGGGTTGCCGGGTTTGTAGCGCAGCGCGCTAACCGTTACACTACCGCCAGCACACGCACACACCCACACACACACTGAGACAGAGGCACAGGTCCCCTGTACGGACTACACGGACTGTCGTGGCAAGGGTTGTTAGGGGGGTGGTGTGGTTGCCCGTTCAGTAAGGAAGATGTCCCTTACCCCTGCTCTAATGAGGTGGCTAAGAGGTGTGGCTAACGGTGATTGTGTGTCTGTGGGTTGTTTGGCTGATGTTGGTATAGGTGATAGTGGTGGTGTGGGGTGATAGTGGTGTTCTGGGTAGGGGTGGTGTGGCTGACTGTGGTGTGGCTGTCTGTATTGTGGCTGACAGTGGTGCTAGATATGGCGTTGGTTGTAGGTGGTGCGGCTCGGGGTGGTGTTGTTGACGGTTGTGTGGTTGTGAATTGTGTGGCTGGAACGCGGTGTGGTTGGCGGTGGTGTGCCTGTGGCTAGTCTGGCTTGTTGGTGGTGTGGCCGAGGTTGGGACCTCATGATCTCCACGTTGGGGTTGTCCTCCCCCTGGTAGAAGGGGTGGGAGCGGTCGGTACGGACTACGTCGCGGTCCACCGTGTACTGCACCTCCCGCCAGAAGCGCTCCTGCTCCTCCTGAGACATGCCCAGCCTGGCACACGGGGACACGTGGGGATACGCGGGGACACGTGGGGACACAGGGGCATGCACGGGGACACCAGCAGAGGACTCATGCACGAAGATATGTGGACACCAACGCTGGCACACACCAATACACACAGGTAGACGTGCGAGCTGTTGTGGGGATGTTCAAGTATGCACAGGTACAGGGGAGGTCCAGGAACGTTTTCAGCAGTGACTAAGAATTGAACGCAGGTCGCCGGGTTCGTAATGCAGCTCGCTAACCACTGCATCACCGCTCCGGTAAACACACGAAAAAGACAAAGATCTTTCATTTAGGCTTAAAAACTGTTGGGGCAAGTGTTCTTATTGAGCACTTATGAAGGCTGGCACGGCACACGAGGGGGTGGTTTGCCAGCACCACGCCCGATCGCCTTTGTCTCCCTAGTGGCGATGTCTACACACCGTACCAGGTACTCATTTGGGGCCGAATGCGACTTAGGGGAGGCCCAGGACCGGTGTCAGATAATCGTCACCGGTGTCGGCCGTGAGTGGGAAACGAAACTCGGGTCAAAGCCTGGATTCGCAGCGCAATGCCGCTAACCGCTGCGCTGCCGCTCCCCACCACACACACACCCACAGTGTGCTTGCGTGCGTGCGTGCGTACCGTGCGAGCTGCACGTCGGCGTACTCGCGGCGCTTGTGCTGGCGGAGCTGCTCGCGCTCGTGGCTCGTGGAGCGGAAGGAGTAGTACTTGAGCAGGAAGGGCCACACCTCGCCGCGCACCTCTGTGGCTACGCCGGCAAAGAAGATCGACTGGGGAGGATGGGAAAGGGAGGATGACGAGGAGGATGAGGAGCGTGGGGGACGGGTCACGTTGCTTGCTTCACAGTGGCCAACGCGGCCATTGTGAGCCAGCAGTAACGCTGGTGCCTTCACAGCGAGAAGAGCCTGGTTCGATTCTGAATTGGGTGCATTTCTGCGTGGAGTTTGTCTGTTCTCCCCCCCCCCCACCCCCCCCCGTTCTGCTGAATGTGAGTGAGCGTGTGCGAGATTGTGTTTGCGAGTGCGTGAGTGGAGTTTGCGTGTTCTCCTCCTGTTCTGCAGAGTGAGCGAGTGTGCGAGAGTGTGTTTGCGAGTGCGTGAGTGGAGTTTGTATGTTCTCCTCCTGTTCTGCAGAGTGAGCGAGTGTGCGAGAGTGTGTTTGCGAGTGCGTGAGAGGAGTTTATGTGTTCTCCTCCTGTTCTGCAGAGAGAGCGTGTGCTTGCGAGTGTGCTTGCGAGTGTGTGAGCCTGTGGAGTTTGTATTCTCTCCCCCTGTTCTGCAAGGGTTTTCCTCCGGTTTCCTCCTCTCATAGCTAAAATAAAACCACGCACTATGCAACTGGTATTGGCCAAAACATCCCAATGCTGAAAAATCCCCTGCAAAATACGCAATTGGGATCGCACACAGCAAGAGAAGCAGCAGTAGCAACATCGCCCCCCAAGTGCGAAAACTCGGCAGTGGATTATCAACAGTAACATTCTGAAAAAGTCGTGAGACTCAGTAAGACTTTCCTGGGTGAGTAAGCAAGTGCTATAAAGAATGACAATTCCATGGCTCGCCCGCCTAACTCACCAATATATTTTTGCGCGTTTGCCGTTCGTGTCGTTGTTGGAGAGCAGGGCATTCCGAAGCAGGGGGCGACGATTTCTGCTGCTGCTGCCGTGCTCCCAGAGGAGTAACTTGCAGTGGCGCCCCTCCTTACTAAACTACAAACCATTCAACTATGTTTCATTTACCAGCTAAATAAAAGCGACTGAGGTGCGTAGCTCTTTTTCAGAAGCGATCTGCTCACAAATGATAGCTCAACGAAGTGGCTTATCATCACGTGGCGGGAAATTTATGGCAGCAGCCAAATCGTCCACGCCGAATATACAGCAGGCGTCGTCAGGGTCGGGATCGAACCCACGACCTCCCGCATACCAGGCGAGGGAGACAACATCTCCGAACCACGGCGTCGCTTCTACGAATCTGTCCGCCACGGGACGTGACGCCGGCCGCACAACTCGGTTCCCTGCCGCCCCTCGCCACGCCCGGTGCGGTGCGGGTCCTTGACGTCGCCCCTCAGCGGAGCGGAGCACGACGTGCGGCGCGAGCGGTGCCCGCACCTTGCGGATCTTGTAGTCCTCCTCGACGCGGCCGTCGGCCGTAAGGTGCTCGAGCCACGAGCAGCGGCTCAGCTGGCGGTAGCAGCCCTCCTCCGGGTGCGCCCCCCCCTCCACGCCCCCCACAGGCTCGTTCACGCAGAAGTGCAGGTAGGAGCGGCTGTCGCTCACCTGCGCGCGCACCGAGCGGAGTCGACATCAGAGACATTGACAACCCAAAGTGGCCGTGACGTACACACACAAAGGCAAAGATATCCCCCGGATTAGCCCATAATAGACTGCTGGGGCAATTGCTTTTAGCGAGCGCCTATGATGGCTGGCGTAGTACACAAAGTGGTGGGATGGGCAGCACCACGCCCTGCAGCCTTTGTCTCCCCGGTGCTGATGTTTACAACACACTGCACTGTATGAAGCCGAGTCGACCTCGGGGAGCGGTGGTGTAGTGTGGTACTGCGGTCGGTAGTGCAGTCGTTTGTTCGGCAGCTGGTATGGTGGTTGTTGTGGTGCGGTGGCGGAGTGCGGTGCTGCAGTGGTCGGTGCGGAGGTTCGCGTGGCAGTTGGTGCGGTGGTTGATGTGGCGGCTGCTGCGATGGTTGATGCGGTGGTAGGTGTGGCTGGTGCGGTGGTTGGTGCAGTGGTTGGTGGTTGGTGCGGTGGTTAGTGTGGTGGTTGATGCGGTGGTCGGTGTGGTGGTTGGTACAGTGGTAGGTGTGGTTGGTGCGGTGGTTGGCGCGGTGGTAGGTGTGGTTGGTGCGGAGGTAGGTGTGGTTGATGCGGTGGTCGGTGTGGTTGGTTCGGTGGTTGGTGCAGTGGTAGGTGTGGTTGGTGCAGTGGTTGGTGCGGTGGTTGGTGCGGTGGTTGGTGCAGTGGTAGGTGTGGTTGGTGCGGAGGTAGGTGTGGCTGTTGCGATGCTGCCGCGTCTTGCCTGGTGTGTGGGCGAGGCGAGGGTGCAGCACTTCCATCGCTGGAAGACGTCGGCCAGGCGGTCGAGTCCTCCGCAGTGAAAGTGGAAAACCTTGTACTGACTCTCCCGGCTCGCGATCACAAAGTGGCCACTCGAGCCGCCCTCCTTGCTGGGCAGCGGCACGCGGGGATCGGTGGCACGCAGGGTTCAGTGGCACACAGAGGCGGGGTCACAACGGACAATGTATTGACTCTCCTGAATCGCAATCACAGTCGTCTCCACTAGAGCTGCCCTGCTAGCTGAGTAGTGTCAAATGGGGAACAGTCCATTGGCATATGGGGACAAGTGTCAGACAGGGAGTCATGTCACATGGGGAAAGTGTCACATGGAGACCAATGGGGGCCCATTTTCACAGCACACAAGGGCGTGGGTGGCCAACACCATGCCTGGCCGCCTTGTTCTCCCCAGCGCTGATGTTAACACAACGCTTTGGGCATTCATTTAAGGCCGCGCAACTTTCTGCCCGCTTGCTGATTAATCTATCAGTTTCCAAACCTGTGCCAATAATGGGTTTTCTCGCCCTGCAAAAGCTAAAGAATCATGATAATAGGTTTTTCCCCTTTTTTGTGAGGTGCTACAAGCCCAGCGACGTCAGTGAGCCCCTCACCTGAAAAACAGCCGCAGCGACCTCATGTGACCGAGGTCGACGCTGAACACCCCGTCCACCTGCTCCAGCGTTGACAGCTTTAGCCGCTCGTCCCAGCTCATCTCCCCGGGGCCCCCCTCAACTCCCCACCGAGCCCCCCAGCCGGGGTCCGTTTCCCAGGGGGCCCTGGGGGACACCTCCTCCTCCTCCCCGCCGGCCACACCGCCCCCTTCGCCCCGCCCATCGTCCCCCCGCTCAGATGGCCGCCCCCTGTCCTCGCCGCACACCAGTAACGGAGGCACCCATTGGCTGCCGTCCTCCGCGATGGTGGCCAATGGGGTTGCCTTGTTATTGTTGCCATTACTGTCCTTGCTGTCGCCGCGGGTAACGGGGAAGAGGTTTCTCTCCGATTGGCCGTTGGTAGGGCTAGGGAGGAAGCTGAGCTCTGATTGGCCGTTGTCGGGGCTCGGGAGGAAGATAGGCTCTGATAGACTATTGCCGGGGGTGCTCAGTTGAATGGTCACATCTGATTGACCATTGCCAGGGCTTGGGAGCAAGCCGGGCTCCGACTGGCTATCGCCAGGGGTGCTCAGCTGAATGGCCACGCCCGATTGGTTGGTGTCGGTGCTGGGTGGGCAGGAGAAGGAAGAGGCGGCGCTGGGCTGGACCGAGTCGGAGGAATTCTGGGCAGAGGTTGCCGTGGAGCTGGTTTCCGTGGAAACCGGGGACCCGTTGCATCCGGCAGACGAGACCGAGGTCAAAAGGCAATCGCTGAGAGACAGAAAATTCACACACGACCAGACTCAAATACATTCTTTGCAATTTTACCTCCAAAACAACGTCCAAGGGGGTTCATCGCGGCTGTGTCAGAAACGCGGCGCTGGCGCAGCCAGGCAGTGCCAGCTCCGCTCTCGGCGCTGTGACCTCGAAGCCACACGGGCGGCGCGACCCCAAACACCACTCTTAAACAGAACACAAACTCACGGCACGCCGCACCCTTCACAAATACATCTAACCTCTCCGCCGTCTGCTCATTTCTCTTCCATCATCTCTTTCCCAAAGTTCTGCCGGCTCTGCTGCTGAACGTGGCCGCTGCCCATAACCCAGCACTGAAGTGGAGGCAGCAGCAGCAGGGATGGGTTGGCGTATCACCACACAGATGGCCTGCGAAACTCCCTTCTACCCGTGGGTGGGCTTGCCAGGAGAAGGCAGTAGAGCGAGTGAACTGATCGCAATTTGTTTCCAACTGCCTTGCCCCCTCGCGCAAGGCGTGGGGATTTCTCCACGTGCTCCGGTTTCCTCCCACACGGGTAATAATAAACACTCACTCACTGGCTGAAAACATCTGAAAATAAAACTCCAAATGCAGGACCCTCGTGAAATTCATAGGTATGTATTATAATGATAACCTGTCCCAATTCAAGAGACGTGTCAACTCTTATTATATTGCATCTCCAATAGTGCTGTTTGTTCCTGGACAATTGGTATTGGTGGTAATTAGGTTGAAGTTGCTCAGCAACCGTGGTTTTCATAAATATATTAAATCCACTGCTGGACGAATGCCTCCCTGTGCCGGGTCGGAGGAGGCCGCTCGCCCAGACTACTGGACATCTGTGAAAAAAAAGAGCTTCACAGCTCATCGGATTCCGCCAGGATAAATAAAGATTCTGAATACAGCTTCTGAACCTGGGTTCCAGACCAGTTCAGATACCACGCGCCACTGATATCAGCCATGCCCAGGAATCAAGAAAAATGTAAAAGTTAAGCGCTAAAACGTGAAGACGGTTCTGTAGTGTGATGCGCGATGCGCTGAATAAAGATGCACGATGCTCGACGCACCCATGCGGCCCGGGGTGACTCGCTCCGCATGCCTCCGCCACGGAGGGGGGGTCCTGGCCGTGGGGGGCGTTGGACCCGTGAGCGGGGAGCCGCTCCAGCGAGCTCCCCGGCAGCGACAGCGAGGAGGAGAGGCGGTCGGGCCGCACGGCGCCGTGCGTTGGACTGCACTCCCCGACCGTGTGTCGCCTCTTGTTGCTGTGGCACACAAACAAAGACAAAGATTCCCCCCGGGTAGCCTTTAACCAGTGCCGGAGCAGGTGCTGTTAGCGAGTGGAAGCCTACGAAGGCCGGAACGGCGCACAAGGTGGGTGGCCGGCATGATGCCCGGCCGCCTTTGTCTCTCCCCTCCCCCACCCCCCTCCTCACCTGGTGAGCGTGGCGGACCCCCGTCTCACGGGCGAGCTCTCGGGGGTGACGTAGCGAAGCGCCTCCTCGTCCTCGCGCTCGATGCGAGCGTTGGGGACCCAGGTGAGCAGCAGGGAGCCCCCGCCGCCCCCCCAGCCCTCGTCAAACTCCACGCACAGGTAGCCTACGCGGGGAGGGCGGGATGGGGGGGGGGGGAGCAGCAGTCACGCGCACGTACGCGCGAGCATGCGCACGGTGCGCATGCTGTTTCGCTCCGCACCAAGTCCGACGTTTCGCTCCGCTTGCCAGGGAGCTTCTTCACGGGGCCGAACTGAATTCGGAAGAAGCTCCCGGGCACTCGATTTGAAACGTCGGACTTCGCGGAGATCATCTCGCGCACAGGAACTAAAAGTCGTCATTGCATCATGGGACCGTGTGAGATGGAAGCGGCTCTGGGAGGCCTTCATCCAGCAGTGGATAAATCACGTGCGATGATGACAATAATTGATGGTTTGCGAGAGTGAAACTGGGGCGTTGCTGTGTTGTGCCAGGCCCTGTGAACCTGCCCAAACCTGTAACAGGTAAATTAAAATGACAACAGAAATTCTGGGAAGAGACAGGTAATACAACACCTGTTATTTTATTTTAATTTACCTTCTGTTTACCCGAACTTTATACCTTGGGGCGTGGAGCGGTGGTGCAGCGGTTAGAGCGCCGTGCTATGAACCCTGTGACCCGAGTTTCATTTCTGGCCATGATTGACATTGGTAGAGAATATTTGAACTTGGTCCCGGGCATCCCCTAGGTCGACTCAGCCTCAAAAGAGTACTTGGTGCGGTGTGTAAACATCACCACTAGGGAGACAAAGGATGAACGGGTGCGGTGCTGGCCACCAACCCCCTCGTGTGCCGTGCCGGCCTTCATAGGTGCTCGCTAACAGCACTTTCCCCAACATTCTGTTAAGGCTATACGGTGGATCCTTGCATTTGCCTTTGGCACAGTTGGTAGGGGGGAATACAGGTGGTGTATCTGCCAGTCGTCTCTAACTCATAACACCTGGATGTCTCCCGTAACCTCCTGCAGCAGAGAGCCACTTAGTCACGATTGGCGGCTGTTAATGTTGTTGTTATAGTGAAACCACACAGACCCGGGTATGGCAGCATGCTTTCATTGTGTGCGCGTGCGTGAATGTATCCGTGTGTATGTACGTACACCGTGTGCGTGTAATGGCACGCTACTCGGTAGAGTAACTTGTGCGTGTAAGCATGTGCGTGCGTGTACATATCTATTGTATGCATGTGCGCGGTTATAACCCACCTGGGTAATGTAGCTCGCGTTAGGTGTGTGCGCGTCTGCATGTATGCACGTGTTTGCACGTGTGTTCACACACACACCTGGGTAGTGCATCTCTCCCCCTACTTGTGTATGTATGTGCCCACGCATTCACAACAAAGGAAAAGATCTCCCGAATAGCTTTTAACATGACTTATTGAGGCAGGTGCTGTTAGCGAGCACCTATGAAGGCCGGCACGGCACACAATGGGCTGGGTGGCCAGCACCACACCCTTTGTCTCCCGAGTGGCCATGTTTAGACACCACACCAGGTTTTCATTTGGGGGCGAGTTGACCTAGGAGAGACCCAGGACCAGTTGAGGCAGTCGTCACTAGTGTTTTTGGTTGCGAGCGAGAATCAAACTCGGGTCGCAGTGCGCTAACCACTGCACCACCGCTCATCACACGTGCGTGCAACAACAACCGCCGTTCACCATACAGTGGCGGTGACGTCATCACGGTGCTCGTGTCATGCGAGGTCAACCTTAAGGCCACGTCAAGTGTCCAAGGCACGTTGGCAGGTCACGGAACAGACCCAGGTGTCATGGATTGACTGAGATTACTGGCAGTAGCACCAACTGTGCTCCCTACTAGGCAAGCTTTCTGCGTTATAGCCACCCAGCGTTCTGCAAGGACAAAGATCCCGCGTATAGCCTTAACAGACTGTAGGAGAAAGTGCTACTCGCGAGCATCTATGAAGGCTGGCTTGGCACACGAGGGGGTGGGTTTCCAGCACCACACCTGGCCGCCTTTGTCTCCCCAGTTGGGATGTTTACACACCGCACCAGGTCGACCTAGGGAAGGCCCAGGACCTGTTCAAATAATCGTGAGCGGGAAACGAAGCCGCGTCACCAAGATTCGTAGAGCCGCTAACCACTGCGCTACTACAAACACCCGGGCACGCTCTCTCACCGGGGTAGTGCAGCTCCTGGCCGGCGTGCACGCCCTCCGTGGGGTGGACACAGACATTGTTCTTGGAGAAGACGATCTCCCCGCCGCGCGCCCCGCGCGCCGCCGCTGTTGCTCGCTGCGGCGACAGCAGCTCCGACGCTTGGCGGAAAATGCGCCCCAGCGACATGGCCACCGTCACCGTGGCAGCGGCATTGCCGCCCGCGGCAAACGGCGGGGCGCTGCGGGAGGTCAGGTCGGAGGGGGGGGGGGGGTCGGGTTAGAGGTCAGCGGGTCCACCGGTCAAGTATATTGTCCGCGACGACACCAAAGATCGTTCTGTACGATGAGAGTTTTGCGTCGAACTAGGAGCTCTATCGAACAGAGACATGGGTCCTTGCCGAAAGACATCTGGCAGTTCGGCAGCTCTGGTTGAAGCGAGCCATGCCTGACTGCTGACGAAACACTGAATGTCGAAACTGCTCCAGAGTTTTATCGAACCGCCGCTGCTGAAAACATTTACGAGGACAGTCAACGTGGAAGAGAGAGGTTGAGTCATCGACTTAATTACTTTGCTTACTTATATTCTCCACTTAGTTGGCACGAAATTATTAGTCGATTTAAATGCCGTCGATTATGTTTGGAGTTGGTTAAAGTGGAATTAAGTACCAACAAAAAAACAAAAAATACAGTGCGCAGAGAATCGTGGAGAGAGAAAGAGAGTCGTGCTTGGAATTAAACTGCGAGACTAAAAGGGGAACACGAGGTTCAGAGCATTGTTTCTTTGACCTTTCTGTATCCCCGGGCCATTGTCAGTCGGTCAGTTCATTTCGGGTAATAATTATATAATTATTTCAAGGTGTACCGCACACAGTAGTGAGAGGACGACTCAGAGGCGACAGAAGGAGGAACCACAGACGAGTGGGAAGGCAGCAGCAGCAGCCACGCGGTGAGCTGGTGCCAAATTCTCCCCCACCCCAAGCTCTGCAGTCCTCTATATATCAAGGTGTCACTGGCCAATTAATCAGTGTTTACATGCGGGAGGAAACCGGAGCACCCGGAGAAAACCCACACGTGCGAGGGGGGGAAACGCTCGATCCCATAGAGGCGGGACAAGCGCAGTCCACATTTTTTGCTGAACCGCCTTCCCCTGGCACAGCCAGGGTAGGCCATCTCGATGCCCACGGGAAGGGAGTTGCGCAACATTTTGTGCGGTGATCCACCAACTTCCGCCGCTGCCTCCACAGTGCAAGATCATAGGCAGGAGCCACATGCCGCCACCACCACCACCAACCACCACCGCTACCAACCCGGCCAAGGCCCATTGAGCTAAACTGCTGTCTTTCACTGGCGACCCGTCAACCCTCAATTTTTCTTTAGCTCAAACTCAGTGCCTCCTCCTCTTCTTTTCACCGTGCCCACCATTGTGTGTGGGTCATGGGCGTCGGCTGACACTTTCCCTGGGCGAGTCCCGTGGAGCCATCGTGGTGAGGCTCTCGCCCAGACTGGTTTTACCGGTTTGTTTTCTCCACAGTCTCGGGCACCCCTTGACGTTAAAGTTTAAATCGTCCGGCAGACAGCTGGCATTATGAGTTCTACCACTCCTTGCACTGTCTCCAGACACTGTATATACCGACCGACAGTAAATGAAACACGTAACACATTGGCGATGCTTGCTGCTGCATTGGCAGTGGTACGCAAGCACAAATAACAACAAAAATGTCACATTCATCAGTGACATTGTGGCCATAAAGAAATATATTTCAGGCGATGTTTTGGAAAATGGCCCTTCTTCAGAGCAGATGAGGGAGGCCAGAGAGTTGTAGGCTGAATTATACACCACGGGGCCCTCATAATTAATTTCAAGAATGTTTACAGATGAACAGTCTTAAATTGTCCCCCTCACCCCCCCCCCACTTCGGCATCACAGTATCTCACCAAAGCTCTCAGATTTATTTGGCATGAATTCTACAGGAGACCTCACTGCCTATCTCTACACAAGTACTCATGGGGCTACTTTAATCTAAATACGGATCAATTTAAGATCCTCATATCACTGCAAAGACACTTTTAAAGTGTAAAATCCCCCTCCGCCCTACCCCGACTCAAGACAAAAGTGATTTCCAGCTCATCTTCCGTTTACAGCCCTGAGACAATGATAGAAGATGTCCACGTTCCGATGACAGTGACGAGATCATCCACAGAACCACTGTTGACTTCCTTACAAAGTGTTAGGAATTATTTTATCGACCCCCAGAGGGATGATGATGATGTTGGTGGGCTCAGTCGTCCCCCCCCCCCCCCCAAGCAGAATTTGAACGCGCAACCTTGCAATGACTGCTCACTCTACCTGCTGAGCCACCTTAGCGGATGCATCTCTGTAAATATTATTCACCGAGCTTTAATATTTGGCCCGGTTTCTTACATGATCTGGTAACTGCCTCGACAAAAACTATCAGCAAACATAATATTATCTCGAGGTGGGAAGCTCGGGTTGGGTTGACATGGAACGAACCCCGTGATTTTCTCTGTCCACTGCTGAATGAATTTTCCCGCCACACCATACACGTGTTGACCGTAGGGATTGTTTGACTATGCTTCACCATGCCGGCCAATGTAGGTCGGTGAAAGTAGACGGGTCAAATATCACTGACTACTGATTTGAATTTAAAGGATGCTGGCTTAAAGGTCCCAGCATTTCTAAGCACCTTATTTGATGACATCCCATCTCAAGCATTACAATCATGCCCAGCTGTAATTTTATTATTCAGTTGTGGCCAACTGTGCTAATCGCACCTCCGATTAGCACGGTTGGCTACGTACAATGCGAAAGAAGTTCAACATACAGGGAATCCCCTACTTACGGACATTCGACTTACGAACTTTAAGAGATACGAACAAACCCGTCCTATGTGCAGTTGCCTGTTCGGATCGAGAGTCGTTCAACTGCTGCACAATAGATGGCGGTGGTTGTTCGGTGTCAAGCACTGGCTTGTTTCGAGTCTCAGGACCCAAACACTGAAAGGTTTAGTCAGGTGTCTATTATTGCCTCTTACAAGTTGATTTATGGAGAGAAGAGAGCAACTGTGCAGACATATCTTGGTAAGTTTTTCAAGAGAGTAGAGAGGAAACACAAGCACCAAAAGGAATAATCATCTACATCTGCAGAACATGAAGAACCAGTCGCATCTAGACATCTACAGGAGATTATAAACTTTTAAAGCCATTCCCCGTGTTTAGTGTACATGCCGTAAAACATGTTTGGAATGGACAGGAGTAAAGTTGAACTTACGAACAAATCGACTTACGAACAGACCTCTTGAACCTAACTCGTTCGTACATATAGGAGTCCCTGTACATACATAAAATAATTGAACTCGGGTTGCCGGGTTCGCAGTGCAGCGCACTATCCACTTCGCCACCACTTCACCCCATGGTGGTGACGTGCCCCAGCGGTGGCGCCTTTGCCGCTCGTTGAAGAGGATCGCGGTTCGGCTCCGGCGGCCGCCCCGATTAATACTGCGGTGTGTCTACCGTGTAAAATCACTGCAGAGGACGTTACTGATCCCGTGACATCACTCACAAGCGGAAGCCATTGCACCAGATTCATGGTCCAAATTTGAAATATTACCCACATTATTATTCCCTGACCCCACCAAATTTTAAATATTACCTGCATTATTATTCCCTGACCCCACCAAATTTGAAATATTACCCGCATTATTATTCCCTGACCCCTCTAAATTTGAAATATTACCCACATTATTATTCCCTGACCCCACTCAATTTGAAATATTACCTGCATTATTATTCCCTGACGCCACCAAATTTGAAACATTACCCGCATTATTATTCCCTGACCCCACCAAATTTGAAATATTACCCGCATTATTATTCCCTGACCCCACTAAATTTGAAATATTACCTGCATTATTATTCCATGACCCCACTAAATTTGAAATATTACCCGCATTATTATTCCCTGACCCCACTAAATTTGAAATATTACCCGCATTATTATTCCCTGACCCCACTAAATTTGAAATATTACCTGCATTATTATTCCCTGACCCCACCAAATTTGAAACATTACCCACATTATTATTCCCTGATCCCACCAAATTTGAAATATAACCCGCATTATTATTCCATGACCCCACTAAATTTGAAATATTACCTGCATTATTATTCCCTGACCCCACCAAATTTGAAATATTACCCGCATTATTATTCCCTGACCCCACTAAATTTGAAATATTACCTGCATTATTATTCCCTGACCCCACCAAATTTGAAATATTACCTGCATTATTATTCCCTGACCCCACTAAATTTGAAATATTACCCGCATTATTATTCCCTGACCCCACCAAATTTGAAATATTACCCGCATTATTATTCCCTGACCCCACCAAATTTGAAATATTACCCGCATTATTATTCGCTGACCCCACCAAATTTGAAATATTACCCGTATTATTATTCCCTGACCCCACCAAATTTGAAACATTACCCGCATTATTATTCCCTGACCCCACCAAATTTGAAATATTACCCACATTATTATTCCCTGACTCCATTACTATTCGTTTTTAATAAAAGATGGTGGCAATCATCGCCTCCCTGCCCCCCCCCCAAAAAAAACTTGGCAAGAACATCCTGAAAAAGAGTCATGAATGAGACACAGGGTTGGCTTTCTTGTGTAAACAGGCGTAATAATAGAATTTAAAAAAATATTTGATGTAGAGGTAATCGTCATCATCAGCCATGATCAATCCGCTGCTGGATGAAGGCCCAGCTAAGCCGTTGTCATTTCTCAACAGTGATTTGATTTAACAAGTCACAGAGCGCACGGATCCACGACACTTGACTCACGGCCGCTTTTCAGAGTCTCTCAATAAAGGGAGACCTGGGTTTAAGGAAGCATAAACTCGAGAACGGGAATGAGACAAGCTTTCGGATGTCACCTGGTGAATGATGCCTTCACCTGACCATATGCTCCATCACACGAGCAAATCCCTGCTCACTTGACAAAACGTCAGCTCACCTCGTCCCATCTGAGACCACGTGTTTAATCACCTGGCCATGCGTCTCCTCACCTGCTCACCTCGTCTCCTTATCTGACCACGCGTCTCCTCACCTGACGTGTCTCATAGGAGCATCTGTCAGCTCACCTGGCCACGCGCCTCCTCACCTGCTCACCTTATCTGACCACGCGTCTCCTCACCTGACGTGTCTCATAGGAGCATCGGTCAGCTCACCTGGCCACGCGCCTCCTCACCTGCTCACCTTATCTGACCACGCTTCTCCTCACCTGACGTGTCTCATAGGAGCATCGGTCAGCTCACCTGGCCACGCGCCTCCTCACCTGCTCACCTTATCTGACCACGCGTCTCCTCACCTGACGTGTCTCATAGGAGCGTCTGTCAGCTCACCTGGCCACGCGCCTCCTCACCTCGTCTCCTTTTCTGATCACCCGTCTCCTCACCTGACCACGTAACTCCTCACCTGGCCACGTGTCCTCCTCGCCTCACAATTGTCTACTTCACCTTTATAGACCGAAAATGACGGCGAATATATTACGATGCCTTACGACGCCACAACACGCGACACTCAATGAAAGGCTAAACGCGCGTTTCAACAGCAACAACAACGACCCACGACATTAATCGGGCAATTCAAGTGACACGGAACCACTCACCCACATCAACGTGCATCATCACCATCATCAACTCAAGCGGCAGTAGCTACGATCACATTATACGGCAGGCGCAGGCAGGCAGGCAGGGCAACCACGCTCGCTCCGTGCCTCGCCAACCAATCCAGCTTTCTTTCTCTTTTCGACACGCATTCAACAATGACAACACACAAAAGTAATCTTTTTTTAAAAAAAAAAATCGTCACAATGCGTCGACAAAGTTAATAAATATACATACGGCTACAAACGAAACCGACCGGCCGTTCGCTGCGTCGGCGGCGGAGGGGTCGACGTGGCCCCGGGTTCTTACGGCAGTTGCGAGGGTGGGTGGGTGGCAGCGAAACGCGTTTTTGTTTACCTCGGCGAGGATTGACCCTCGTCAGCCGCCGTCCAAGCGTCGCGTCACTGCCCCGCCCCCGCCTCTCTCTCTCTCTCCTCCCCCACCCCCACCTTATGCCTATCCGCTTTAGGGAATTCGCGGGCGCCTCCGGCAATAGACGTGTTACGGTGCGAGCGCGTGGTTGGATATCGTAGCTTTGATAAGTGCGCACGGGTGGTGACGTTATTGAGTGGGCGGGGTGCGGCTGGTGTGTGACGTCACATAACACCAGCCTGGTTTGGGGGTGGGGTGTAGTAGCCACGTGTGGGTGCTCGATATCGATTGTTGTAGAATCTTAATTTAGACTTCGATTTAAAGCTTTCGTGACTGCAATGATTCATCTTCTTTGGTTCTTTCGGTAAAGTCACGTAGAATGATAATAAAATAATAAATTGATAAAATAAAATAACACAATAATATTCTCACGACGTTTCGGCCACAACACAAGCGGCCTTCATCAGCAACCACGCTCGCTGCAGAGGTAGGAATCCGATGAGCTATGAAGCTCTTTGTCACAAATGGCGGTACAGTAGGGGCACGGGAGTAAGGGAGTTACATCAACAAACAAAAAAACAAAAGTGCATTATACACAACAACACCGGCGTGCTGTACTAGTAACAAATTGGCACCTTTTGTTTACGTGATAAACCTTACTAATTGGTTGTGTCGGGTGGTGGCGGGTTTAACGACACATTTATATTTTCGCGATCTAACCCAAAAACCTCATGGATAGAGAAAAGGGTAAGCAAGTCACTAAAAGTAAATCATTTTTTATTTTTTGATTTAAAGCTTTCGTGACTGCAGGGATTCATATTCTTGGTTCTTTCGGTAAAGTCACGTAGAAGGGAAACAATGAAATAATATAAATATATTTTTAGTATTTTATTGTTTCCCTTCTACGTGACTTCACCGAAAGAACCAAGAATACATTTTTTTATTTGTTATCACCAAATGCACGCTTGGAGCAAGGCAGCAAAACAACAACAAAGACAGTCCAAGGACCACACCAAGACACTGCAATTACAGTGCACATTAAATCTGAACTATATCGATACACGGGCAAGGTGCAAAGTTACACAGATCACGAAACGTTCACATTAAATTGATCAATGAGTGATTGTATAATTGGCATTTATTTGTAAGGGGCCGTTCATAAATGACGTCACGCGATTTTGGACGATTTTTACCCCCCCTCGTCACGCGGCGTAACAAAAATTCAGACCCCCCTCAAATATGACGTCACAAAGCTCTGCCCCCCCCCCCCCACAAAAAATTTAACATTCTTCAAATCGCTTTAAAATATTGTCATTGTAGTGCGTATTTAATGTGCCGCTGCACTCTGATGTTGTAGGAGAAAACATTTATTTAAAAGTCAATTTAATTAAGTAGAACGTGTTGTCTATATTTATTTAAAGTTGCGAATTTTGATGTGACGTCACATTTCTCACCCCCTCGTCACACATCGTCACAAATGTCTGACCCCCCCCCCTAGGCGCGTGACGTCATTTATGGAAGGCCCCAAAGCTCTTCCGCGGGTCATTCCTGTAAAACGGCTGAAAGTTTGTGACCCGTGTAAACACAATCGATCGATCGAGTCAACAGCACCGTGGCATTAAAAGCAAAACAACTATAACAGCCGACGTTTTGGTACGATTCTCCTGCACGGATGTTGTTCGTCTCACTCTACTGCACCCTGCCTGATAACGATTTAATAAATATATCTGCTGAAGCCCTCTCGTGGCAAGCATATTGCCCATCAGGCTATGATTTAAACGCACTTGCATGCTTAATTGGACTACAAAATAAAACCCACTTGTCGCTTAGCAACCTCCCTTTAATAAACACGTGGCTTCGCTTTTTACCCCTGAGGCCCCGCTCCTCATTTACCTAGCCCCGCCCTCTCATCGCCACGGCCACGCCCCCTCACACGCTCGCCCTTGTAACCCCGCCCCTAGCCGCCGTGGCCCCCGCCCCTCTTCGCCGTCGTCACGTGACAGCGCGACCGGTCTCCTAGCAACGCCGACTCTCCTCAACCTGGGCCGGTCATCGAGTGGGAGTCATTAAGGTTCTATTAATATTGCAGAGTATGTACTGTATTGTGTATATATATGAACCAATTACATATCATAACAAATATGTGTGCATTGTAATTGTACTTGACCGCGACGCGTGTTTGACTTTACAAAGCTATGGGGTTGGCGTTGCGTTATAACTGCGGGCAGGCGCGCGTTGTACGGAGGCTAAAGGCGCAGCCCTGCAGGTGCTCGCTCGGGCCTCTGCTGGCGGTTAGCGCCTCCGCTCGAGCGAGGGGGTATTTTGGCCTACTCTTCCACTGCTGGCGCACCCTGCCCAGCAGAGGCTCAATGTGGATGTGGCCCCGTGGACAGAGGCCGTGGGAGGATCTGAAGAGGGGGGCGGTGGGGTGGATTTGACGAATCTTGCACCACCACTGCTTCGGAGATAGAACTGGCGATCTCTGGATTTGGAAGTCCAGTGTGCTCATCATTACCGGACTCCAAAACAAATGTTAACTTTGCGAGTTCGGCGTGCGCGTACCGTGTCAACCCACGCAGTTTTACCCCGTATTTTTGACCGGCGAAATTGAGCTTTCAGGGCCATACGACGTACAGCCATTTCAACGGGGCAACATTTATTGCGTCTATTTGTTTGTGTCTTCCTTGTGATGGGACTTTGTAGGATGAACGTTGAGATGTATAAGGGAACGGGGTGACCAATAAGGTCTGAATTGGCCTGTTGTAATAAGGTAGGGGGCACTGATAATGGGTTGAGAGGTACGCGTGCGTGTGTGGGTGTTGTCCGTTGTGTCACTCTCTCTAATCTGGAGGTCGACTGTTGCAGGTGAGCGGGCAGCGCCGAGGCCGAGACATCGCGGCTCACAACATGGACCAGCCGGGGGCTGAGGACGGGGAGCGAATGGTGAGCTCGGACATCGGCCGTGAGTTGACGGTGGAGGTGCTCTTGGGCAGCGAGAGTGGACCTTGAATTGCAAACGTGAAGTTTCCATCAGGGGGGCTCAGAAATGCCAATGGGTCAGTACATCCATCCTCCACTAACCCACACTGACCAAAGTGGTGAAGTACGGTCGAATGACCTCTGCGACTGGCGTGGCATTAAATGGCCTTCATCCGGCAAAGGGCTGCTTAATTTACTATGATTACATGGTAAATACATTTATGCACAGCTTGATTTCGGCTGTATCTGCCTGGGTCTTTGTGAAGAAGAGCTTTATATCTCGTCGGATTCCTCCAGTCTCAATAAAGATTCTGATCACATGTGCCACCTCCTGGCTCTACCAGTGATGCGATAAAACAATATTAAATGCGATATGAATCCATGCGTGTGTGTGTATGTGTGCACTCGCTAACAGCACTTCCCCCAACAGCCCGCAATAGTCTGTTAAGGCTATACGGGGGATATTTGTCCGTATGTTTTTTTTTTGTACGCGCGTGTGGCAGGGCGATGTAGAGACGGAGCCCAGCGACGCCGGCGCTGGCGAGTGGTCAGCCGGCGCGTCAGCGGGGAGCCACTCGCGTCCTCGCTCCCACGCCAGCTCGGAGCGGAGCAGCCAAGACCGGCGCCCAGCCAGCGCCACCGCTGCCCGCACCTCCACCTCCACTCTAGGTGACACCGCTAGCCTGCCTCATTCTTGTTTCCATGATAACGTTGAGCTTGACTTGGGGGACCTGGTGGCTCAGAGAGGGGCGCCACAGTGGCGAGATGTTAACTACCTCACCTGATATACGGCAGGTCGTGGGGTCGATCCCGACCCTGACGCCTGTATATTTGGAGTTTTCATGTCTCTCTCCCTGTGGTCGCGTGGATTTTTCTCTGGGTCTGCCAGTTTTTTCCCCCCACACATTAGAAACATGCGTTTAGAGTATTTAGCTGCTATAACTTTCCACTTTGATAATTAATTTCTTTGAGCTATCATTTGTGGCCAGGTCCCTTCTGAAAAGTAACTATATAGCTCAGTGGGCCTTACCTGGTGAATGCAGAGGTCAGAGGCACTGAACCAGCACCACTGAGACCCTGGGTTAAGTCCGAGGTGTCAGCTGCCTAACCATGATTAAACCAGATGATCAAGTGTAGTGAGTTGATGGTTTCAGCCTGGTCACCGATGACCTACACAGAGACCCATTGACTTATGTAGAAAAACATAGACTTTCGTAGAGGTTCATTGACTTATGTAGACATTCACACATTTACAGTCAAACACTCTTTTCCTGTCTCTGTGTCAGACCAAAAATAAAGAGTATATCTCCGTCCGTCAACCCTGCCCACTTTTACAAAGCCACACCCACTTGATCGCTATCACCGCCCCCCCCCCCCCCACACAGTGAGTGGCACTACTCTGAGGCCCTACCCACTGCTAAAGTAGTCCCGCCCTTCAATTGTATCCTGCCTTGCACATTTTGATTATTGACCTTACACTTGTTTACCCAGGTGGGGAGTGGATGGGGGGACAAGCCAGATTTTGACAAATTACTTTGGCGGAGGTGGAGAGCGGCACGGACCTTTTGAAAACCGGGACTGTCCAGCCTGTAAAACCCACACACCGCGTCTCCCTTTTCTAGGTGGACCGGAGGAAGTTACGGAGGTCGGAGGTCACGTTGACAGCGATGACGAGGACCAGGAGGATGCGTGGCGGAACGCAGCGACCTCCTCCGCCATCGCTGCCGCTGTCGCCGCCGCCGATGATAATGATGACAATTATGAAGAACAGGGAGGATGGGGGGAACACGGGGATCCGTCGGGGGGAGGAGAAAGAGAGGAGGGAGGAGAGGGGGACAGACGTGGGGACGAAGGCTCGGAGCGAGGAGGGAGTGATGCGGAGGACGACCTCGTTGTGCTCGACCCGGATCATGTGGGTGTCGCTCCTTTTGGCTCACACGCACACCTCTTTTCCACTGGGGGGGAGCATAGTACAGTACAGGAAGTCTTCGTTTAATGCGGAAGTAGAAGCGCTCCTGAAAAGTTCCTCGTGAAGCGAAAACAATTTCCCCATAAATTATGTAACGGTAAAGTTTGCCGAGATGCGATGTACTACTACGCACAGTGAGAAAGCGGGACAAATAACTCAGGGTACGCCGTCGCGTTACTGTATCATTCCGCATACTGTATCGCTGTACTGCTCAGCCGTGCAGCTCAAGAAAGGATTATGTCGCCGACCACTCGGATACCGCCTTATAACGGTGCGCGTTCCGCGTTACAAACAGTGGCGTTCTGCGTTATAGCAACGATCGATCGCGTAAAGTGTTCCCTTAGGGAAGTACCGCGTTATAGCGAAAACACATTGTGCAAACACCGCGGGTTAAGCGATGACTTACCGTAAAACGTTTGATTTTGCTGCACTCGCTTAAGATTTGCCCACGACATATCTTAAGCGAGCGTTATTTTACAACCGGATATCGCGTGTCCACCCCGCGCCCCCCAGTCCATACAGCGCCGCGACCCAGCGAACTAACGGCATCGAACCAATGCTTGTGTTTCTCCGTGGCAGCCGCTCATGAAACGCTTCCAAGTGGCGCTGAAGAAGCACCTCGTGAAGCAACTGGAACGCACCGACCTCGAGGCCAAGGAGCTGGTGAGAGCGACGAGGAGACTGGCACTGAGTGTGACGCCGTGATTATTATTGTTGATGCTTTCCAGCAAATGTTTAAAGAAAGCTTTTATTAATTAACTCTGTCCGTTCATATGTAACCTACCTGCCCACCTACCCACCTGGATACCTATATACCCACTCACCTCCCTACATATAAACTGTCCCACCTACATATGTATCTCACCTGCCCACATAACTACCTGCCTGGAAACCCACACATTAGGGTGATTATAATCCGTTTTTCTGCATTACCGGTAACCACAGGGAATAAAAACGATAAAAACGGCTTTTGCCATCCCCCCATCGCAGCGCGAGGTCCTGCGCAAGCGGCGCTCGGAGCGGGAGGAGGTGGGCGTCACGCTGTACGGGGCGCAGCAGGAGCTGGCGCGCCAGCAACAGCGCCTGGAGGCGCAGCAGGAGCAGCGGGCGAGCCTGGCCGCCCGGCGCCGTCACGAGGAGGAGGAGCTGGAGGCGACGCGCGGCCTGCACAAGGCTCGGCTCGACGCAGTCAACCAACAGCGCAAGCAGGGTGCGGTGCATCCACCTCCCGCCGCCAGCCCGTTGCTTCGCCTGGCGCTCGTAAAGGCCGATGATGATGGTGGCATTCGAGACGTTATAGGAATAGGTTTTACCCTTTTAACTGGCACAAAAAACTGACACCTTTATTCAAGGCATCATGTCTGCAATAACCGCAACACAAGCAGTCAAAATGCAAACAAAAAGACAACTCTGATAATATGCACTGTCCTTATTATCAGAGTTGTCTTTTTGTTTGCATTTTGACTGCTTGTGTTGCGGTTATTGCAGACATGATGCCTTGAATAAAGGTGTCAGTTTTTTGTGCCAGTTAAAAGGGTAAAACCTATTACTATATCTTGTTACTGGCAAAGGAGGTCTCATAATGTAAATTCGAGACGTTGTTGATGATAGCAGCACTGTAATATCACAGCAGAGATCCGAACCGAAAGCAAGAAACCAGGATTAACCGCTTATTTTTGAACAACTGAATCTTAAATGGTATTTGGTGCTTTGGATTTGGTTATCAACTTTAACCAGTTTTAAGACAATTTCTTTTTTAATTACCGCTTTGTTAGCTGGGCTGTTAAAAGCGAAATTGACCGTGATTCCACTTGAATCATCGCTGCTGCTGCCCCTTCCTCCCTCCCCCCTCCCCCTTGTCCCTCCACCCACAGTGGCGAGCGTGCGGGCAGAGGTGGAGCGTGTGGCGCTGGCCGTGCTGTACGCGCAGGAGGCCGAGCGCGACGTCTCCGGGGACGTGGCCGTGCTCAAGAGAGCCGCACAGAAGGCCGACCTCGAGAAATATCAGACGGAGGAGATCAAGATGAAGCAGGTGCATAGGGGGAGTGGTCAGGGGGGTCACGCAGGGGGTTTGGCGTCTCAGCGGGGGGGCATTCTGGATGATTCATAATTGTGGGGGACACGGTGTCGTGATTGCGGGTACAGCTCCTCCAGACTCTGCGTTCAGCTGTTGGCCCCGAGACACTTTGAGGCACACAAAGGGGGTGTCGCGGTCAGCACCACGCACGGCCGTCTCCGTCTCTCCCCAAACAGCAAAAAACAATATCCGCCATTCACCACTAAGTGGCGGTGACGTCACGACAGCGCCTGCGCGAGGCTCGGTGCGCTTTGAGACTACGTGAAGCATCCAAGGCTCACTGGCAGGAGGCCACTGGACAGACAAAGCTGTTATTGGTTGACCAACTGGCGTGATTGGCAGATGCACCACCTGTACTCCCAAGTGTAGCACTTCGCTGTGTTTTAGCCATCGCCATTATTGTGAGCATCGCACCTCCGTCCTCTGTTCTTGTTAGAGGGCGAGTGCGTCCAACTGACCAGTCGCGTCCTTCACGAGCCTCTTCCATATACACAGACATGGCCGTTATAGCCACCACCGTCACAATAACCACCAATATCAGTGACGAGTATAGATCTAGACTTCCGAGAATCATCCCGTTCAATCGATTACAATCGTGGGCTAGGCCATGTAATGATCCGGCCAGGTTTGTGTCCTGGAGGCTCTCCACCATCCAGCCAAACAAAGTGGAAGGAGCTTAACGACACTCATTATGAACCACGATCTTGGCTGAGAAACCCCACGCGTGAAGTTGACTGGTTGAATTACGCTTACGATAAATGCGGAGGGAAGTACAGTAAAACCTTGGATTGCGAGCATAATTCGTTCCGGAAACGTGTTTGTAATCCAAAACACTTGTATATCAAAGCACTCGTATATCAGTTGTGATCACGTGACGCTCGGCAGACAAAGCGTATACGTACACTACTCGTATTGCAAGACCTCGCTCATTTTATTAAATTAATATTTATTAAACAAATTTGCTTGTCTTGCAAAACACTCGCAGACCAAGTTACTCGTAATCCAAGGTTTTACTGTATACTGGATGTGGTGTGCACACACCTAACAATAGGTGGGGGTGGTTTAATTTTGTATGTTTTTAGATGATTTGTTCGCCTTTCCTGTACTTTGCACTACTGTTGTGTTTTTGTAATGTTTGTTGTTGTAATGTTCTTACCCGCCCCAATTGAACATGTGTGAAAAAGAGCTTTATAGCTCATCGGGTTTCTCCACTAAATAAATATTCTGATTCTGACCATCTTCCTCTTTGTGCACCTCCCTGCCCCCCCCCCCCCCCCCCGACCAGGACATGCACGTGGAGCGACTGACACGGCAGGCGGACGCGACGCAGGAGCGCATCGCGATGCTGGAGGCTCAGCTGAGCGCACAGGCCCAGGACACCCAGGCGGCACGGGCTGGCGCGGCAGAGGTTTGCCACGGAGCGGACCCGCGCGTGGGCCAGACTGTGTTGCGATGAGAGTGTTGTCGATCGGAAAGGGAAGGCAGGGAGTGGCTGATGGTGGATGGGCTGAGGGTTAGTGTTTCGGAGTCTGGTTGGTTCGTTGGTTCGCTCGTGTGGTTAGGATTCGAGTTCGTGTTAAGGCCCAGGAGCAAGCACGGGAGTTGGAATTTGGGATGCGATTGGCTACAGTGATTTCCCGCACCGGGTTAGGTATAGGGTTTGGGCTAGGGTCTCATTGGTTAGTATGGGTAGGATGAGGGAGAGCGTTTTGGGTTAGAGCACACGCACAAACACGTGCGCACACGGCGTTTGTAACGTACCACCGTTCCGTCTCCAGTCCACGTTCCCTCATGCCGGCGCTGCAAGGTGTGCAAAGGTCCCGCCGTATAGCCTTAACAGCCTGTAGGGGCAAGTGCTGTTGTCAAGCACCTATTAAGACCGGCACGGTGTATGGGGGGTGGTTGGCCAGCACCACACCCCAAGTGGCGTTGTTTACACACCACACCAGGTACTCATTTGAGGCTGAGTCGACCTAGGTGAGTCCCAGGACCAGTTCAGATAAACATCACTGGTGTTGACCGTGAGCAGGAATCAAACTCGGGTCGCCGGCTCAGTAGTGCATTTCAACGGTCTGTTAAAAGGTTTACGGGCGACCTTTGTCTTACAAACATTCATACACAAACCCGCACGCGCGCGCACACACACACACGGGCGTGCGACGTTCATAACGCGTACTCTGGTCTCCGGGTGCCTCTGGTTGGCACTGCAGGCTCGCGCGGAGATCGATGCGATCGTGTTGGAGAAGCGCCAGCTGCTGCAGCACTGGAACGCGACGCTGCAGGGGTTGAGACGGCGCGACGAGGCCCACGCCAACATGCAGGAGGCGCTCGCGTGAGTGGCGGGTGGTGTCCAGCGCTGGCGTCGCACAAGCGGCACCGTCGCTCAGGGCCCAAGCGGAAAATGTTATCCCCAACGCGGTGGTAACGCTCGTGCCTTGCGGCAAGAAGAACCAAGGTCTCAGTCCCAACTGAGGCGGCGTTCTCTGTGGAGTTTGTATGCACCTATCTCCCCCTGTTTTGCAGAGTGTGAGTGAGCGCGTGTGCACGAATGTGGGGAGGGGCGGTGTCGTGGTTAACACGCTGCACGAGGAACCAGGCGACCTGAGTTCGATTCTCGCTCACGGCCAACGCCGGTGATGATTATCTGAATAGGTCCTGGGCCTTCCCTAGGTCGACTCAGCCTCAAATAAGTACCTGGTGTGGTGTGAAAACATCGCCACTGGGGAGACAAAGGCGGTCGGGCGTGGTACTGGCCACCCACACCCTCGTGTGCCACACCCACACAATTACACACACAGTCACAATTACACCAACATGTATGTTACGTTGAACTTCTTTCGCACTGTACGTAATCAACGGTGCTAATCGGAGGTGCGGGGGGAAGGACAACAAACTGAACACAAAAAAACTGTTCTCAGGGCATTCGTTTTTAATCTATATTCAACAAAAAAATCACATCGCTGATCGTAAACCAGCTTCTCCCGATTGTCGTGCGGCTGCAGCGAGTGCCGACGGGAGGCGCTGTCGGCCGACACGGAGCTGAGCAACTACAAGCGCCTGATCCGCAAGGAGGAGGAGCGCCACGGCGCGCTCACCGTGGTGCTGCACCGCGCCGATGCCGAGGTGGCTGGCGTGCGCCGCCTCACCGCACAGTGCCAGGAGCAGCAGGAGGCCCTGCGCACCGACTACGCCACGTACGCGCGCACGCTGCAAGAGACGGAGGTGGCCCTGGCACGCGCCGTCAACGTGAGTGCAGCGCGCGTGCTCGCGTGTGCGAGCGTGCATGCAGGCAGTCGTCCTCCAACAACAACGCTCACGACAACGAGCGAAAGCGCTGGGTGGCTAAAACGCAGCAAGTTGGCATGGCGGGGGGCACAGCTGGTGCAGCTGCCAGTCATCTCAGTCAACCCATGGCATCTGGGTCTGTCCCGTGACCTACTGCCAGCAGCGAGCCTTCGACACTTCACGCGGCGTCAAAGTGCACCTGGGCTGGCACGGGCGCCGTGGAGACGTCACCGTCACTTAGTGGCGAATGGGCGTGGTGACAGCGTGTCCGCCGATCGTTGGCGGAGGTTCCGCGGTTCGAATCCAGTGGCAGCCTCCCAGTTAATACCGCAGTGCGTGCAATTACTGTACCACGCGCCGTCTGCTTTGCTTCACAGCGGATGTTAATGGTCTCGCAGTGCGACGACGTTTCGCAGGGGTGGGTGTCGTGTCGCCAAATAAAAAAATGACCCGCAAATTACTTTTTTTGTAATTGCTGTATACACAGCAATCTGTATACACTGCAAGCATCGCCCCCTATTGCGAACAACCTGGCAAAACTCTTAGGATTTCCTGAGTCAACAAGGGTATTGATAATTACAATAATTAATCATAAATAACAAAACATACCCGCATGCACACATGCACGGGCACATACACGCTCACATCCACGCTCACACGCTGGGCGACGCCCGCGTCCTAACGCTACTCTTTTTCCTGCCTCGCTTTCTCGCCCCGCTCCTCTTCCTCGCTCTCTCGCCCTGCTCTCTCCCCTTCCGTTATCCCCCTCCCCGGTGTAGGAGCGTGGCGCACGGGAGAGCGAGCTGACGGTGCTGCGCTCTCGCTGGGAGCGCGAGCACGCGGCACGCTCGGCCCTGGAGGACGCCATCATGGAGGCACTCCGGGAGCAGCTGACGCGTGACAAGGCGGCGCTCTACTCCAAGAAGCTCGTGGACAAGATGCGCGCTCGCAAGAAGGAGCTGGTGCGCCGCATGTGAAACTCCGGGGCACTCGGGGGGGCGGAGCTATTGAGCAGGGGGGGTTGCGGGCAGGAGTTGGGGGGGGTGGTTGTGGGGGTGGGAGAGCAAAGAAATAGTGGAGCCATACGAAGAATGTTGTACGTAACGTCGTTGTGGCAGTGTGTCGTCACGTCGCTATGGCATTATGGGGCTGTGTCGTGGCGTTTGCCATTGTGTCGTGTTGTGGCGTTGTGTCACCGTGTTGTGGCGTTGTGTTGTTGTGTCACCGTGTTGTGGCGCTGTTTCATCGTGTTGTGGCACTGTGTTGTGGTGTTGTGGTGTTTTGTCACTGTGTTGTTGTGTCGTCATTTTAAATTCCTAAAAGCAAGGAGGCCGCGTGGCTCAGGCACTCAGAGGGCCGAGCCGACACAGCTGAGAGCCTTGGTTCGAATCTCGGCAGAATTAAGGTGATCGGTTATCATCATAGATTTTTGTGTTTACGACGACACTCGATGATTTGATCAAACGAGCATCGTTGAAACCTTCCACCACCCGACACGGCCGGGCAAGCTCGCGTGTCGCGTCCCCGACAAAGCTGCGCGCATCCGTATGCGTGCCACACGCCGGTGCCCGCGTCGTCGCAATCTAAGGAGAGGTGTTGCTGTCGTCCGGACTGATGGCGCCTCCCCCCCCCCCCCCGCATGCGCGCCCACAGGAGCTGGACGTGGCGCGGGCGGAGAACGAGCTGGCGCGTGCCGCGCTGGCCGTCACGCAGGCCGGCGCCCGCGAGGCCTCGCGCGCCCGCACGTTGGCAGCGGCCGAGGAGGAGACGCGGGCCCAGGAGGCCCTGGTGGCGCGGGCGGAGACGGAGGCGGCGCGGCGCACGGCCCTCATCGCGCGCAAGCAGGCGCTCGTCGACCTCAACAACAAGAAGGTGGAGCAACTGGTGGCCAGCGCCGGGGTGAGTGCGGGCGAGTGGGCGGGCGGCGAGGGGAAGGAGGATGATGGCGATGGAAGCGAGGTGGGGGTAGAAGGGTGAAGAGTGGGGCGAGAGGCGAGAAAAGATGAGAGAGCGGGGGAGGAAGAGAAGGAAGAGGAGCGTTGGGAGAGATGTGAGGGGCGACGGGACGAGGAGAGTAGGAAGAGAGGAAAAACGAAACAATTTGACGGGAGAGATGTGAGGGCGCAGGAGAGGTGTGAGAGATGAGGAGAGAGGATGGTAGGAGAAGAGAGGTAAGTCTGGTGGGGCGAGCAGCGAAGGGTGATGGGAGAGAGGTGAGGGGTGAGGAACAGAGGGTGCGGGGATGCGGGTTAGTGGGGGGTGATGGGGAGAGAGGTGACGGGACAGCGCTGGGCGGAGAGAAGTGGGGAAAGGGTGAGCGTAGGAGGATGAGGGGGAGGGTGGCGAGCGAGTGGAGGCTCGCGTCCATTTACCGGCGTGAAGTCTGCGGAGCTGCCTGCTCGTTGCGTGCGCCGTGAGGGAGGCGTCATGCCCGCTGGTGCGATGTCACACCTGTTCGCTTGCTCGCTCGCGCGTACCTGACGCCAAGCTCACACCCACTCGTGCAGGAGATCACACCTGCCGGCGAGTGCACTTGTTAGCTGTTCACACATGTGCGTGCGGCAGTGTGCGTGCGTGCCAGCGCGCGTTCGCGAGCACGCGTGGGGAGCGGAAGCCACCAACACCACCAGTGACAATTATCTGAGCCAGTCCTGGGCATCCCGTAGGTCGACTCGGCCTCAAGTGAGTACCTGGCACGGTGTGTAAGCATCAGCCACTGGGGAAACAAATGCATCCCAGTGTGGTGCCGGCCACGCCGTACCCCCCGCGCGCCACGCCGTTCTTCGTAGGCGCTCGCTAACAGCCGTGGCCCGGATGACGACATGGTGGGGGGGTGGGGGCGTCGTTTTGTTTGCGTTCGTCTCGCCAGGGCGTGGAGCTGGGGCCCCTGGAGCTCCACATCAAGGAGCTACGGCGCCAGCTCGCGGAGCGGCGGGCCCAGTCCACCGAGCTGCAGGCGCAGTGGCTGCGCGCGCAGGGCGAGCTGGTGCGGGAGAGCCGTGAACGCGAGGAGCTGGCGCGCACCGTCGCCGCGCTGCGCCAGCGCCTCACCATCCTGCTCCAGCGCAAGCTGCGCGTCGAGGGTGCGTGCGGGGGATAGGGGCGGTGGGGATTTTTTTTTTGGTCACGTCCGTCGTGGAGCAGAGGGATTACGGCAGTTGTCGTTACGGTTGAAACGCACCGCATTGATATCCAGGGCGGCCTGCTGGTTTCGAACCGTGAACTTCTGCAACGAGCGGCAAACGCCCGACCGCTGGGATAAAAAAAAGGACGGAAATTCGCCTATGTAGCCTTAACAGACTGTTGGGGCAAGTTGCTGTGAACGAGCACCTCTGAGGGCCGACACGGCACAAGAGAGTGTCCAGCGCCATGCCCGTCCGAACTCTGTCTCCCTTGTGGCACTGTTTACGACGCACTGCAGCAGATACTCACTACCCTCCCCCCAACTCACAAACAAACACGTTGTGAAAGACATAACGCAGAAGATCCCTGGGCTTGATCCTCCACGAAGCTTATGGTCCATCCAAAATCACATCCGCACAAACCACGGCAGATGCGGATACATGGTGCACAAATGTACAATTAAAAACTCTCCAACGTGCGACTGTGGTCATCCAGAACAGACGGTGTAACGTGTACCGATGCAATGCCCACAAATACGAAGGAGACATCACAGCGGTGCAATTGTCTGGGCTTGACCACTTGAATGTGAAATTGTTGTTGTCGCCCTGCATCTACGTCAGCCGTAAGAAAGACCCACCCCACTTTTCCCCCCCACCGGCAGGCGAGGTCGCGCAGCAGCAGCGCGGAGTGCGGGACACGGAGCGGCGCACGGCGGCGCTGCACCACTCGCTGGAGCGCCTGTGCTCGCTGCTGGAGCGTGAGCGCAGCATGCGGAGCGGCCTGCAGGCGGGGCGGGCGCTGCTGGAGGGGGAGGTGGTGGGGGCGCTGCGCGAGGCCGAACGCGACGCCGTGCGCCTCGCCGAGCGCCTGCAGGAGCTACGCGACGACAAGGGCAGGCTGCTGTCGGCGCTGCTGCAGGCCGAGTAAGCCCGCGGTGACACGGCTGTGACGATGACGGCAATGGTGAAGATGATGGCGATGATAATAATGATGATGATGGCGATAATGGCGATGATGGCGATGGTAATGATGGCGATGATGATGATGACGGTGATGACAATTCAGAGCTGTGGAAATTGAGGGTTGGTGTATCACACACAAATGTTGTGAAAGTCCCTTCCCGTGGGTGTCGAGGAGATGAAGTGTGGACTCCACCTATTCCATCTGTATGGCATAGAGTGTTACCCCCCCCCCCTTGCACGTATTGGTTTTCTCCGGATGCTCTGGTTTCCTCTCCCCACAGGGGCGCTACGGTGGCGAGACGTTTACTCCCTCACCTGGTACACAGGAGGTCGTGGGTTCGATCCCGACCCTGATGCCCGTATATTTGGAGTTTGCGTGTCTCTCCCTTCCCGTGGCCGTGTGGATTTTTCTCTGTGTCCTCCGGTTTTTCCCTCCACATTTAGAAACATGGGTTTTGGAGTATTTAGCTGGGCTAAATTTCCACGCGGTAAGTGATTTGGTTGGGCCATCGTTTGTTTCCGGGTCGCGTTTTTGAAAAATCCCTATGTAGTTCAGTGGCACTTACATGGTTAAAATAAAAAAAATAGTTTGAAATAGTTTGAACGGTTCATGCGGACGGATCTCTGCGTTTGTCTGCACGGTGCCCAGGGAGCAGATCCTGCTGTGGGAGCGCCGCACGCAGTTGGCGAAGGAGATGCGCGCCGCGGTGGACGCGGACGTGGGACACGGCGAGATGAAGGCCATGAGGGCAGAGATCCACCGCATGCAGGTGGAGCGACGACCTCTCTTTCCCCACTGCGCTCGTCTAAGGGGGCACGAACCGTCACGCGAACTCCGGATACCCTCGCAGCGGCAGCGGCTTTTGGTTAGCCCAGGGGCTCGGCAAACCTGCGGCTCTTAAAGGACTGCAGTGCGGCTCTTGAAATTCGAAAAAACATGGCTCTTCTTGTAAGTTTGGTTGCCCACCCCTGACCATGGAAGTCCAGCTCACTATGGAAGTCCAGTTGACCATGAAAGACCAGTTCACCATGGAAATCCAGTTAACCATGGAAGTCCAGTTCACCATGGAAGTCCAGTTGACCATGAAAGACCAGTTCATCATGGAAGTCCAGTTGACCATGGAAGTCCAGTTGACCATGGAAGACCAGTTCACCATGGAAGTCCAGTTCACCATGGAAGTCCAGTTGACCATGGAAGTCCAGTTTACTATGGAAGTCCAGTTCACCATGGAAGTCCAGTTAACCATGGAAATCCAGTTGACCATGGAAGTCCAGTTGACCATGGAAGTCCAGTTGACCATGGAAATCCAGTTGACCATGGAAGTCCAGTTTACTATGGAAGTCCAGTTCACCATGGAAGTCCAGTTAACCATGGAAATCCAGTTGACCATGGAAGTCCAGTTAACCATGAAAGACCAGTTGACCATGGAAGTCCAGTTGACCATGGAAGTCCAGTTAACCATGGAAATCCAGTTAACCATGGAAGTCCAGTTGACCATGGAAATCCAGTTGACCATGGAAGTCCAGTTGACCATGGAAGTCCAGTTGACCATGGAAGTCCAGTTGACCATGGAAGTCCAGTTGACCATGGGCAGGGGTTGGCAACCTGAACTCTGGAGCCGTATGCGGCTCTATAAGTACTGCTGCTTTATTAAGGACCACCATCTCGTATTCACATGCATTGCCACACTCGAAATATTGAGTTGTTTACCGAATATAAAAAGCTCACTATTCTTGTTATTTTGGTTGTTGGCCTCTGGGCTAGCCGACGATCACCGCATCGTACGCTTTCAGATGGGGGGGGGAGGGCGTCTGGAATGCTCTTCCTTCCGATATTGGGAAGCCACTGGAGCTTTCCACTTTAAAATCATCTAGATTGAAAACTCATTTCTTTAGAACTGCTTTTCGTGTTTAGTTTTTTGTCCTTCCCCCGCATCTCGGATTAGCAGGGTTGGCAATGTACAATGCGAAAGAAGTTCAACATACTCCACCACTTACTCACTTCAGTCGCTCGCTCGCTGGCGGTCACTCGCCTCCTCGTCAATCTTGTGTCGCTGCTATTGTGGGTATTGTGCTATGTCGACGTAGGGGAGGCCCAGGACTGGTGATTATCTGAGCGGGAATCGAACTCAGGTGGCTGGGTTTGTAGCGCAGCTCGCTCACCGCTACACTATCGCTCCCCATGGACACAAACACACACACACCTCCTCAACATACACATGCACATTCACCCCCCGCCCTTCCCCTCGCCTTGCAGGTGCGGTACACACAGCTGTTGAAGCAGCAAGAGCGGCTGATGCGCGACATGGAAGCGTCGGTGTCCCGGCGCGACACCATCACCACGCGGGCCCAGGTCGCCGGGGCCCACGGTGACCGCTCCTCCTCTGCCACCGCCGCCGCCACGACCGCGGTGGCGCTGCAGCGAGTCCTGCAGGCCCTGCGCACCGGCATCAAGGACGTGCAGACGGTGAGTTTGTGGCTCTCTATACGAGTCTATGGATCTCTGTGAGCAATGGCGGAGCCAGGATTTTCAGGTAGGGGGGGGCAACCCCTCCAGCTATGAAAAACGATAGGAGTTGTTAGTAAGTAAGGACTTTTTTATTTTACGGGTGTGCGGCGATGGCGCAGATATCGATTGGGGATCGAATTCGAACCGGGTGTGGTCGGCATCGCGCTCGCTGAAGGTGAATGCCTTCAGGGAAGTCGTGTACTGTATACGAAACTGCGCACAATTCTGTAAGTCACTTATAACTGCTTTGCCGTTACTTATTGCCAATTATGGACTCAGACTATTGTCCTACCATGTCATAGAGTCCCTGGCACGTAATAACATGCGACACAGTGGCAGTGGAGGTCGCAAAATGCCGATTTATTACTAATAAACCCCAATGATCCGATCGAAATTGGGGATTTCGATCAGATCATTGGGGGGGGGGTGTCTATGCGAGTCTGTGCGCGTCTATGGGTCTCTGTGTGCATCTATGGGTCTCTATGCATGTCTATGGATCTCTGTGTGAGTCTATGGCTCTCTATGCTAGTCTATTGTTGCTGTTGTCAACCTGTAGCTTCCCACTGTCTGGGTAAAGTCCTGCCCCATTCCACTCCATCCCTTCCTTTCCCAGCTGCTGCTGTCCAGCAGTGTTCTCCGAACTCTGATTTAATTTCACTGTTGTCTCTCCCGCGCTCTCTCCTTCTCTTCCCTGCTCTCTCGATCTCCTCTCCGGAGGACTTAGTTTCACCTCTAATCTCTCGCCAGTGTTTCTCAAGACGTTGTCCTGCCCCAAACCCCAAGGCCACTTGATTCATCTTGCTCCAACAACAGGGGTCACTGATGCAAAAATCCTCCTGATAGCTTTAACAGATGTTTATGGCAAGTGCTGTTCACGAGTAGCGCCTATGAAGGCCGGCATGGCACACGGAGGGGGTGGGTGTGGCCAGCACCACGTCCTGCCACTTTATGTCTCCCTAGTGGCCACCGCTCCCCATTTTCCACTGATAAACAATCGCTATTCGCCACTAAGTGGCGGTGATATCACCACGGCGCTTGTGCCATTCTAGGTGCACTTTGAGGCTACGTGAAGTGTCGAAAGCCCGCTGGCAGGAGGTCACGGAAAAAGATGCAGGTGCCGTGGGTTGGCCGAGCTCTTATTTAACGAATGCTTTTACACGTGGCTTTCATACAGAGATGATTGACCCTCACACACACACACACGTAAAATCACGTCCTCATCCCACAACAACTCGGCAGGTTCATCGCGTCGACGAAATGTTTCTGCCGGTAACAACCCCCAAAGTAAGTCGCCCGGTCCCGTTTGAAACAAACTCGCTACGTGGGTGATACCGGTCCTGCGTCGCTGTGGGTTCTGTGGGTTCCGGCAGCGCGTGGCTCAGAGCGACGGGGAGATCGCGGAGCTGAGGGAGGCTTGCGTGGCGCTCGAGGAGGAGCTGTCGAGCCGCCGCCGGCGCCTCGTGGAGCAGCGCGGGGCCCTGGAGCAGCTGGAGGAGGAGGCGCACGACTTGGCGGAGCGCAAGCGCAAGGTGAGCGGCCAGAACATCCCAACGCTGACAGAGAAAATATTTACCTGCAAGTTTTACTCAAGTGGGATTACGCATGCCATCCCCCCCCCCCCCCCACCACCGCCCCCCCCCCCCCTTACTGCGAAAACCTGGCAGCACCCTCCCTACTGAAGAGCCTCGAGGCTCGGCGAAGCTTTCCTGGGGCAAACAAGTTTAACTGTAACAATGTCCGGTGAAGTATCGTTTTGTCACCACGAGGGGTCGCTCGGTGCGTCCAGTGGGAGCCTCTCGGCTCGGTCTGTTTGCCAGACGGCAGTCAGCGAAAGTTGGATATTGGCGCTCCACGTGGGCAAGCCAGAGAGGCCGTGACGGGGTCGGTGAAGTCAAGTGCCCCCTCTGTATCTCTGTGCCAGCCTTCATAGCTGCTGCTGCTCCTGCTCGCTAACAGCACTTGCCCCAACAGTCTGTTAAAGGCTATACGTTACTTTATTTTTTGTTTTACCAGGTAAGGCCCACCGAGCTGTATAGCTCTTTTTTTACAAGTGACCTGGCCACAAATAAAAGCTCAACAAAGTGTCTCATCATGTGGAAATTTATAGCAGTAGCCAAATACTCTAAGCTCTATTTTGTGTATAGTTTGTTGTCCTCCTCCGCACCTCCCATTAGCACGGTTGGCGCCGTACGGCACGAAAGAATTTCCACATACGTGCATACATAAACGGATGTTTCTAAATGTGGAGGGAGAAACCGAAGGACCCGGAGAAAAATCCACGCGACCACGGGGAGAGAGAACACGCAAACTCCAAGTATACAGGTGCTAGGATCGGGATTGAACCCACGACCCCCTGTACACCAGGCGATGGAGATAACATCTCGCCACCGCGGGGGGGGTGTGGGGGGGTGTCTTTGTGCGTGGTGTTTCCGACCGCCCCCTCTCCCGCCACCGCGCAGAACCTCCAGGATCTGGTGGCCCTGCAGACGCGCGGCAAGCACCTGGAGGCGGCTCGCGGTGGACGCTACCGCCCGCTGTGCTCCTCCGCCGAGGGCGTGCGGGCGGAGACGGAGCGCCAGGAGGAGCGCTTGCACGCGCTGGCCACGGCGCTGCACCGCCTGCTCGGGGAGCGGCCGCACCTGCAGGGCCCGCTCCGCCCCGTCAGCCTGGCGCTCGCGGACCGCATGCAGCGGCTGCAGCAGCAGGACGAGGAGGAGGAGCAGCAGCAGCGGGAGGAGAGGGGCCAGATGCTACAGCAATAGCAGCGGCGGCGGATTTGTAGAGGAGCAGGTGAGATGCGGGCGAAAAAATGTCTGCAGCAGTAGGGATGGAGGTTGCGCAACAAGCAAACGCAGCAGTAGCAGCTGTAGAAGCAGCAGTGGGAGGTTAAGGGGCCAGATGCTACAGCAGCAGCAGCAGATCAGCAGAAGCAGTTTTGCAGCAGGGATAGAAAGATGCACTTCAAGCAGCTGCAGCAGGAGCGGCAGCAGCAGGTGCAGGGTGCGAAAGCTGCAACCACGGTCACAACCGTAGCAACAGTAGCAGATGCAGTAGCAGCAGTGCCATCAGCAACGCAGGGTGAGAGAAGGGAGATGCAGGGGAGGAACTGGAGACGCGCGGCATGGAGGCCACGCGTCGTTGCCGCACGTGACTGCGCGACACCGTCCTGAGGAGTGCGACGGCCGACCCCAGGCGGTGAGGGAGAGAGAACCGCCGCGCGAGTGTTTTGTCGTTGCTACGACGCTCTTCTAGAGTGCTCTGCGGGTGTCTAAGTCAGGAGGGGAGATGCACAGAGAGCAGCAGCAGCAGCAGTAATACCAGCCACAGCAGCAGCAGCAGCAGCAGCTGTTGTACTCGGCGTGTAACAACGCATCGATTCATCAATTAAAATAGATTTTTTTTTGTTTACGCTCGGGATACACGCAAAGGAATTGTGCGTGCGTGCGAGAATCAATTATTTACAATTTATGTAAACGACAAACCGCTAACTCCTACGTTTACGCAAGTGGGGTGAGCTGCACTGTGCGAGGGAGAGGCAACACCAATGGCTCACAACGCAAATGCATAGTAACGCCTCCTCCTCCTTCTTCCCATATTTGTCCGGCCACGTGAAAAATACGTTTATTTTTTACACATCCCATCAGTCGCACGGACTTGCGGGTGTGCATCTCGCATCAGCAGGCATTCGTTCAAGACAAGCAAAATGCCGGAGCACTGCTGGTGAACTGCCCAAGTGTTTATAGGCAAGGACTGGTTTTGACAGTCAGCGTCTCATCAGCAGCAGAGTCAGGCTTCGCTTGAACCACTGCTGGTGAACTGCCCACGTGTTTATAGGCAAGGACTGGTTTTGACAGCCAGCGTCTCATCAGCAGCAGAGTCAGGCTTCGCTTGAACCACTGCTGGTGAACTGCCCACGTGTTTATAGGCAAGGACCCCTCTCTTTATGAGACAGGGGTCCCGGTTCGGAGATTTAACGGAAACCCTTGGTGAGTGATCGCACTCTGTTGGAACAGCCACACGGGGGTCCGGGGGGGGGGGGTGGACAGCGGCAGCAGCGACTATGGGCCGTCACTGCCGGACATTCTCTCTCCGCTACTGGATGAGTGCCGTCTCGCGCCCGGCGCTGCCTCTCAGCGAACCGTTGACGCGGCTCGTGGCGGGTAATGAATTCGGGTCGATGCCCGTTTAGAGCGACTGGCACATTGATCCGCACTCACGGCCACTTTTGCAAGCGCACGACTTCTCGCTCCATGTCAATCTTGCCGTGCTACAATTAACAAAAAAAAATACGTTACTCTCCTGCAAACACGATGTTGATGATGATCGTGGCGATGATGATGATGATGATGACGATTATGACGATGATTTTGATGATGATAACGGTGATGATAATGACGATGAATTTGATTACAACGGACAATTACTCTATCTCACTACGATGCTAACCTCTGCCCTGTTGACGCGCGCTGGATTGCAGTTATGATGATGACGACGATTACGATGATGATGACAGTGAAAATAATGGCGATGATGGCAGCGTGGTAATAATTCCGCGGTAATAATTCGTGCGCAGTTTGGCGAGCGCGTCTCCTCTGCGATGTTGACCTTTGCCCTGCTGACACACGCTGGATGGATTCTGCTGCCCTCAGCCCCCGCGGGAGATGCGCACGGCTGCACGCGACGCTGCGAGGAGGAGGAGGGGGGCGACGAGGAGGGGGCGAAGAAGGATGCGGAGGAGGAGCGGGTCGTTTGCGTCCTGTGCTCCTCCTTCTCCTCACAGTGTCTCATCGACCTCCTCGCTGTTTGCTCACCACGCACCGATCACCTCACTTTACACGCCTCGCTATTGGTGCCCCGTCGTACACTCGTCACAATCATCATCGTCATCACCATACACTGCTCCTCACACTCTCCTTTACTCCTCACCCTCACCGCCCCCCCCCCCTCCCAACTCCTCCATCCTCACCACGCCCTCCTCACCCTCACAATACGCCCTTCCACCTTCCACCTTTTCCCGCCATCGTCTTCCTCACCCACCGCACTCCTCTCACCACGTTTACCGTCCCGAGGCTGGAGGGCGAGGGGGGTGAACGCGCGATGAGGAGCGGTGGGGAGAGTGAGGAGGGTATGGGGAAGGTGAAACGAGGAGGGTGGTGGGGGTGGTGGGTGAGGGGGGAGGGGGGTGAGGGTGGCGCGCCATTCGCCGTGTTCCCGTCACGCCGCTCTCGCATGGAGGGGGTGCCGCGTGGAACAGAACGGTGGCGACGACGATGACGACGATTACCGTCACGGCCACGGCGACGACGACGACCGGGATGACAGGCTCACACGGGCACCGATGGGCGGGCGGGCGGGCGGGCAAAAGAGCGAGCGGGCGGACGGGCGGGCGAGCGGGCGGGCGGGCAAACGAGCGAGCCAGCGAGTCCGCCTGGCATTTAGTGCTCTCTGAACCCCGACGGGAATCCCGAGCGGAAAGGAATAATGGCGACATGCGCGATTACCCGCTAATGCGCTCTCATCGCACGGCCTGGTATTTAGTGCGCCCCCCACACCCCCAATGCTCATGCCACACAGCGGCACACGCCACGCCACAACACGGCATGCCACGCCATGGCACTCCACGCTGTGCCACCCTACGCCACTCCATGCCACACCACTCTTGAGTCTTTAAGGCAGTGACTATGGGAGTGAGGTGGTGATGGTGGTGGTTTAGTGAAGTGAAGGTAGCGGAGAGCGGGGGTGGGTTGGGGGGAGGGGGGTCAGGTTGTGTGGCTGCAAGGGATCAGGGCCGGTTCAGATCTCACTACTGATGTTCAGAATATTTTCGGAATCAGAATCTTTATTTATCCTTGAGGAACTCGATGAGCAGTGAAGCTCTTTAGCCGTGGCCGCCGGGATTACAACTCGGGAGTTGATCGTGCGGCGCTTGGACCCACCACTCCACTGCTGACAACAACAACAACAATGCTGTGGGTTCGATTTCAGTTACCGTGATTGGTGGTGCGGTGATTGTTGCATCATTTGGCGCTCAACAAGAACCGCCCGTATTCCGACTCGGGTATCAGTGGCCACAGACGTTGGAACAAAATGACCAGCGCTGTACGATGCGAAAGAAGTTCAACGTACATAGCCACATTGGTGAGACGGCCTGGACTCTCTCCCTGCTTCAGTAAACAAGCGGCGGCCAATGCCTCCCTCGCTCATCTTGAGCAGGATGCCACTTTGACTGCAAAGGACCCACAGGTTGGATTCGAACCGGTATCCTTGGAACTGAAGGGCCTGGCTTGGTGGGGGTGGTGGGGCGGGGTGGGGAGGGCTGGTGGTTTACCCCGACTTAAAGAGCCGTCACCCAACTTCAAATCATTGATTTAAGCAGGCGAGCCCCAGCGAGACTCATTATCTCCATGTGCAATGAGAAAGACCCCGGGAACGCGTTGTCGCGCAGTGACAGTCTCGTGTCGTGTGCGCGTGTGATTGTACGGCGGAGCGGTGGCGCCAGCAGCTACCGACCCGGCGACCCGAGTTCGATTCCGACTCGTGGCCAAACACAGGTGACGGATGCCTCCTCGAAAATGAGTGCCCGGTGTGGTGTGTAAATATCGCCGCTGGGGAGACAAAGGCGGCCCGGCGTGGTGCTGGCCACACCACCCCCCCCCCCCCACTCGCGTGCCGTTTCGGCCTTCGTAGTTGCTCGCCGACAGCACTTGCCCCGACGGCCTTTGTGTTTCTGGAGGTGCGGCAACACGTGTGGGTGATTTCGCAAATTTGTCGAGGGCAGGTTGCAAGGCATGTGGCACGCTCTTGTCACGGCCCCTTCACGATGTCCACCTCAATGGGGGAACGAGAGCGGTGTCCGTAAAGTGTGTGCGTTGTGGTGGCAGCGGTGCAGGTGGAGGAAGTGGGTGAGGGTTGTCTCAGCGATGGCTGGCTGGTTGGTGGTGGTGGTGGTTATGGGATACTGGTCATGATAAGATGTGGTGGTGGTGGAAAGTGGTGATGGGAGCAGTGGGTGGGAAGAAGCAGAAAGATAAATGTTGCGACCTGCAGTGTGGTGAGTGACTTGTGACCTGCAGTGTGGTGAGTGACTTGTGACCTGCAGTGTGGTGAGTGACTTGTGACCTGCAGTGTGGTGAGTGAGTGACTTGTGACCTGCAGTGTGGTGAGTGACTTGTGACCTGCAGTGTGGTGAGTGAGTGACTTGTGACCTGCAGTGTGGTGAGTGACTTGTGACCTGCAGTGTGGTGAGTGAGTGACTTGTGACTTGCAGTGTGGTGAGTGGGTGGCTGTGGATGAGTTGTGGTGCCCTTCGGATAATCACTCTGTACGTAACGAAGGTACACGGAATAAATATTATTGTGATGATGGGTTATTGTGTCATGGAAGTGATGATGAACGTTAGTTATTAAAGTTACGCTGATGAGGTGGTGGCGTTCGGGGTCGTGGTGGTGGGCCAAGTTGGTTAGGTTCGGTAAAAAAAAGTGATGATTATGATTGATTTCGTTAATGCAGGTAATTGTGGTGTTCGTGATGACCACATTGTGCTCCTTTTACTGCTGCTACTGCAGCAGTCATTTGTTTAAGATGGTTGCGTTATGATGCCGGCCTGCTATTGTTTTTGCTACTGTTGCTGCTGCTATGGCTGCTGTTGCTACTGCTTGACAACGCGAATGATAATCTAACTCGCCACAACAGCCGCCAGCCCGAGACAATTAAGCGGCCGCTTCCCGTAACACGTGTCCCGTCCGCCGCTAATTAAGGGCGCCCTATCCTGACGGACGTTAATGGCCACACCTGTCACACCTGCCGCGTAAGATTTGCCAGAGATGGTGGACCCCCTCCCCCCTCACGCCCCCCTCCCTCCCCCCTCACGTTCACCCCCTCCCCCACCTGCCCCCCCCCCCCGCTCTCCACCCCCCCAAACCCTCTCCCTCCTACCTATCCACACACACACCTGCACTCACATCTGCTGATGCTTCTCAGCGGGCGATTCAATTATAATTTAAATCGGGCGTCCTTTATTTAGCCGGGTGAGAGAGCGCGGAGAGAGTGCAGTGGAGAGCGCGGAGAGCGTGCAGTGGAGAGTGTGCTGTGGAGAGTGTGCAGCAGAGAGCTTGCAGCGGAGAGATCGTGCAGCGGCGAGTGTAGTGGAGACTTTTCAGTGGAGAGCGGGTAGAGAGTGCAGTGGAGAGCGGGGAGAGAGTGCAGTGGAGAGTGCGGAGAGAGTTAACAATCTTATGAACAACACCTGGGCCGTGGCAGATCACTGTTATTATTCAGTAGGCTCACATGACATTGACTTCTCCAAGACAGAGGTTCTCTGCAAGCCATCTGGCTACCATGATAGATTCGTTCATGAGGCTATCCACAAATACAAACACAGAGACAATTTCAACCGAGAAGATGGATTCTGGCTTAGCAATCATTGGAAGGATTTGATGAACCATTTAGGGTCTTAATTGATTGTTCAGGCTTACGGTGGCTTTCAGACCATATCCATTATTTTTCGTCTCCCCCCTCCTCTTTTCCGAACATAGATGGACTCGTCCATCTGAATAACTGCCAAATCGCTCTCCGTTGTGCTAACGTTAAAAAACGCCACTTTTTTCAAATGTTCTTGCTGTGGTTTTCACACCTGATGATGATTGCTTGTGTTGCAGTCGAAACGTCGTGATAATTTTATTGTTTTATATTATTATTTTATTGTTTCCCTTCTCCGTGACTTTACCGAAAGAACAGTTGATACAATAGTGATCGCGTATTGTTTGATGTTGCGCGTAGACACACAGCCCACGTGGTTATAGTGACGATGAGAGATGACGTTCAGGGTGATTATGATGATGACACAAGGGAGATGACAAGACATGACGGTGATGATGGATGATGACAGAGATTGTGACGTTGATCAAGAGTAGAGAATGATGATGACGGACGCTTGTGTTGCGCCCGAAACGTCGTGATTTATTTTATTTTATACCTACGTGACTCTACCGAAAGAACCTAAGAGTATGATAATGGTGTTCATATTCTTGGTTCTTTCGGTAAAGTCACGTAGAAGGGAAACAATAAAATAATAAAATATAAAACAGTACAATTCTCACGACGTTTCGACTGCAACACAAGCAATCATCATCTGGTGATGATGATTGCTTGTGTTGCAGTCGAAACGTCAGGTGACGATTGCTTGTGTTGCAGTCGAAACGTCGTGAGAATTTTATTGTTTTATATTTTTATTATTTTATTGTTTCCCTTCTACGTGACTTTACCGAAAAAACCAAGAATGAATCCCTGCAGTCACGAAAGCTTTAAATCAAAAGATAATGGTGTTGTTGATAAATATTACGATGGTGACGATTATTGTGCTATAATAGCAAAAGGCTTATGGTAACAAGATGATGATAGTTTTAATAGCAAGAGATCATTGGTAAAATGATCATTACGGTGATGATAAGACGAAGGATGATTAGAGGGATGACGATGCTGCTGATGATGACGCCGATGACAGGGGGTAGCTAATGAGCTGGCCGGCTAATCGGCCCTATAATTACACGAGAACACTTATTAAGCGTGTTTAATTAATTGTGAGAAATTAATAACAACAATTATAAGAAGCGAGTTCCCCCCCGACGCCAAAACAAAGTCCGCACACGCGAAAGCCAATTAGTTAATGAAGAAGGCACGCGAATTGGTTAATTGACTTAGAAGTTGGGCGACGGCAGTGCGAAATGCTGGGGCTGAGATCTCAGACGTTTGTTCACCTCCCTGCGGGGTGCGGGGTGAGGGGGGTGAGGGAGTGTGTGGGAGTGTGGGTGGGGGGGTGTGTGGGAGTGTGTGGGAGTGCGTGGGGGTGTGTGGGAGTGTGTGGGGGTGTGTGGGGGTGCGTGGGAGTGTGTGTGGGAGTGTGTGGGAGTGTGTGTGGGGGGGGTGTGAGTGTGGGGGGGGTGTGTGGGAGTGTGGGGGGGTGTGTGGGTGTGTGGGAGTGTGGGGGGGGGGGGGTTTGTGGGAGTGTGTGGGAGTGTGGGGGGAGGTGTGTAGGAGTGTGGGGGGGGGGGGGTGTGGGAGTGTGTGGGAGTATGGTGTGGGAGTGTGAGAGTGTGCGGTGGTGTGTGGGAGTGCGTGAGAGTGTGTGGAGAGGTGTGTAGGAGTGTGTGAGAGTGTGGGGGGGTGTGTGGGAGTGTGTGGGAGTGTGTGGGAGTGTGGGGGGGATGTGTGGGGGGGGGTGTGGGAGTGTGTGGAGTGTGGGGGGGTGTGTGGGAGGGTGTGTGGGAGTGTGTGGGAGTGTGGGGGGGTGTGTGGGAGTGTGTGGGAGTGTGGGGGGGGGTGTGGGAGTGTGGGGGGGTGTGT